TTTATAATAAAGATAGATATAGATTAAATTTTAAATCGTATACCTTATTGCATGAAATGTTAGCGACATGTTAATTTAGCGATTTTGAAAATTTCCCATTTAGCGACACTTAAATTTAGCGATTTTTCGTAAAATTTTGGAACATAAGTCACTTAGTTTTAGCGATTTCACGAACTGAAACTTTTGCGACTTCAAAATATTTAAGCTTATTTCATGCAAAAATGTATTTGATAAAATTATAAATGTCATAACTTGATTTAAATATATATAAAAAAAATCATTCAACTTTTGCAGATGGCAACATTTTATCCCATAGACATACAGATGGCAAAATTTCACAGTGTACTCACTTTAATTTAGCGACACTTTCGAGGCGGCATTAATTCAAATTTCATGTAATAAAGGTAGATAAAATATTAGATGGTATTAGTGCCGTTTCAAGGTATGATATAACTGTGTATATGATTGTAAAAGAAGTCCGGAAATAGGACAGCATACTCAGTGTTCGCCTTGTAGGGGCCCATTTTCTTTATGTCTAAGTTTGTTTCTTTACTGTTGTGCAGTAATTTACAACTTGATTAATTATGAAAACTACTCTGTTGTTGGCCTTCATAATTTCAAACCTTTGTATCAGCAAACTAGCTGCTGCCACTCATTTGAAGTTTAAAATATTCCTTTTCACACTGGTCGTACTATACTCCTTATAAAGTCCATTCAGGCTAACAAAAACTGTTCATATGTGTTTATATATGTATTTTTTAGCTGCACGATCATGAGCCACATAAACATTTTAATTACTATGTGTTATTTATTTATTAATCATAGCTCTAACAAAATTCTCAATTTTTATTGGTTCTGCCTGCACCACCGTATTTAATCCCTGAATTGTACTCCACTCAGACCTTAATTACCAACTTATTTATTAATATTTTTATTCTTTTTATTTGGTAATAAATTAATTATTTGATTATATTTCATACCCTAAAATAGGCATCTTTTAAAATGGAGTGGACACAGGAGTGTGACCTGCTTCTTTTACAAGAAATTGTGGTGTCACAGCCTTACAAATTCAAACCATCAACAAGAGATAGAGGGCAAGTGTAGGAGGGCATTACGGCAAGGCTAAATGCCACAGAATTATTCCATGATCGGCTCCGTAACAAGAGAGCAGTCAGGGACAGGTATCAATTACTTTCAAAGAAATTCAAGAAAAAAATGGCTGAGGAAGAACGAGCAAGTGGGATATCCCCTGAGATGACAGAAATAGACAAGTTGCTGGAACAGATAGTGGAACAGTTTGAGGAAAGTGAAAGAGACGCCGGAGAACAGTCAGAGAAGAATGACCAAAATAAGGAGAATGAAAGGAAAAAGGCAGAAGAGATGAGAAACAGGTCGATGGAGAAGCTGGGGGAGACTCAGAAAAGAAAGGCAACAGCTGAGGATGGGCAACAAACAACACCGAGAAAGAGATCATCAGGATCAGAAACCCGTCGTGTATTTGAGGGAAAAGGCAGAACGGGAGTTTGAGCTAAGACAAGAGGAATTAGAAGTAAAAAAGAAAGAACAATCTGCACAACTTCAGATGTTCCAGTATATGCAACAGCAACTGCAGCAACAGCAACAACAACAACAACAGCAAATGCAAGTTCAAATTCAGCAGCAGCAACTGCAAAATCAAATGCTCTTGGCACTTATTGAGAAAATCACCAAGTAAAAAGTGTTCTTTAAGACTCTGTAAGATTTCAAAGTTTCGCGTTTATTTAAATCATTCGCATTTTATTATATATATATATATATATATATATATATATATATATATATATATAAACATTTACATTTTTACATGTATGCATATATAACTTAATTATATATTTTTGCCAATTTTATCTTGGCTTTTATGATCTTCTGTGAGCTGTAACAGATTGTGTATAATCCAATGTATCGATCAGCTGAGACATTTAATATTATTCCATTGTACAAAGAGCAAAATAAGACTAACAGTGAGTTAATTGTCTTTTAATTCAAGAAATTTAATGGTTAAGAAAAATGCTTTAAAAATGCATTTATAATTGCTTTTCAGTATTTATAAAGTTAACTTCAGAATTTTTTAAGCATGCCCAAACTTAAATTGTCAAATTCACATGTACAGTGAAAATATATATCAAGTAAAAATTTTGAGCAGGTTCATAAAACTGATAAAAATTTTAAAAAACTGGATTGGTCTGACAATTCTATTGATTATAGGATCCAAAATGGTCCTTCACAAGCCTGTATGAGCCACTGAAATCTTGACAGGGCATGCAACAATGATTAGTTATACCCTCCCCCCCTCCCTCCTCTGGGCGCATTGACCCATATCTTACAAGAATCTCTGATAACATTTCCTTAAATAAAGTACTGGTCTAATGGAGGCGGTTCAACACCAAAGAAAGAAGAAGTTGTTGACCCATATGTACATGAGTGGGCATTTCTCAACAGGGCACAAATGATATACATTTTTCCTACTGCACTGAGTCCAACCTTAAGATTTCTTTTAAAATCTAAAAACGAAAAGTACTCTAAAATGTCACCAAAAACCCACTCTACTGCTGTTCTTACTTTACTCATCGATTTGTTAAACAGTTGCTGTGGTGCTGTTAGGGCAGCACCCTTAAATGGACCCTGCAGGTGGACCCTCAAGGGGTATGCAGGGTCACCATATAAACATAACGGTTGGCCTGTTGGAGATATACAGTGAGCTTCTAACATTGGCAACAAACCAGACATGGCTAACATTCCGCTGTCGTGTCTGCATCCTTCCACAGGTCCAAAAAGGTTTACGATCAGACCATTTGGTGCAACTACACTTTGAAACTTTATCGCATGCACTCTCTTGTGGCCATTGTACAATACTCTTTGGTTTTCGCCAGGCCTAGCAACTGGTCGTACAGTTCCGTCTATAAATCCCCAACAGTTGTCAAGGGCGGCTCCTTTATTGTAGATAGCTTCTGCAAAATCAACTAGATTTGCTTGTGATAGCCATGGCTGATTAATACCAGAAAACAACTGTCCGAAGCGGGCATAAAGAATATCCATCATCTCAGACACCACCATACATAATTGCGGTACAGGCCTTCCAAATCGGGGAACAAGGTCTTCGTACCTGCATGGAAAGGCAAAACGACGCAGAAGCAAACATAGCGCTTCATCACTGTAAACATAAAAACGATTTGGGCAGGTAATTTTGTCAGGAAGATCCAGAACGTCGAGCAGATTGTAGATATCATGTTTTAAGAAACGGAATTCGCTTTTGCATTCGTCGTCGGAAAGAGAGTCCAGATTGAATTTTTCGTATTTCCAGTAAGGAATGTCAAGAGTAACAGCATTTCTTCATCGGCGATCAAATCCAAGGCATTAGCAAGCAAAAGAGCCTCTCTTGCCTCCCTGAAGGTGGCCATTTTTCCTTCGGGGCCTGTGCATGTCGCGTTGTATTGCGTAAGGTTTGTTTACGTTTAGGACGGCAACGTCAACCCTCGCGTGCTCGGACCAGTACTCGCGCGGTCCACGGTCGCCGTCCTCATTCTGCCGTCCTGTTGCGTAAGGCCTCTATTCTATGCAAGTGACCGACGAGGTCCTTAGATGCAATACGGGATCAGAAACCATCCATAAGTTCTCCTCGCAAATTTAATACGACTTTGTCATCTTTCAAGTAAATCAAGCAACCAAGGTAATTCAGTCTTGTCAACTGAGTTGATAATGTAAATTGGCCACTGTGAAGAGTCTACAAGCTGACGTTTCGAGCGTTATCCCTTCGTCAGAGTGAATGGGGGGAGGGGAGGGGTTTTAGGGAGCCCTTATTCGCTTTGACGAAGGGCTAACGCTCGAAACGTCAGCTTCGAAACTCTTAACGGTGGCCAATTTACGTCATCAACTCAGTTGATAATACTAAATTACCCTGTTACACTCTCACACCGACGCAGCACAAGAGTTTTTTAGAAACTTCCCCCTTTGACCAAAATCTGTCTTTCTTGAACAAAGCTCTCGTTTAAAACAAGACGGTAAAGTTTCCAACATGTGCGCATATAGGAGACTTTCTGCGTAGTCAGACCCGTTTCTTCTTATTTTTAAAAGACAGAAGATCTGAAGATGCGTCCTACAGATGTTACAGGATTCAAGTTCTTTTGCTTCCCTCTCGCAGCTTGTGCCACTCAGAAACGAACCAGCCACGCTTCTGCCAAATGTAATAACTTCCGTATTTTAGGTATAGCCTGTTGAGAGAATACCAGAAAAAAACAGTTTGCTCCTGTTGAACAGGTAGCAGAAAAAAACTACAAATAGTTTGCTCACGTGAGAGAGTGATGGATTACAAAATAAACTGATCGAGTAGCAGTGGACACACCCACTTCTCTTGGCAATTTCAAGAATTCCTTGCAAATCCAAAATAAGTAGTTTTCCTCCTGTGCAAATATGGCTGGGAACGTTTTAACAATGTAAGCTTCGCAGCAACAGCATTAAAATGACACGTATCATTTGCGTTAACTACTTACGCCCCAAATAAAACACCACCGAGATGTGCCGCATGATCAAACACTCTCCAACGCATCAACAATCCTAGCAAGTCAAAGCCAGCTACAGCTAGGAGGCCCTGGGGACGAGAGAAAACGAAACACCCGTGACATGATATTCACATGACGCTCCTGGGGTCAATGACGCCATGAGCAGTCACGTGTTGTCGACTGTATCGAAATAGATTAGTGAGTTATCAGAAACAGGGTCAAAAAAATAATCATCCTCAGGATTTCTTTCTTATTACTTACCACTCCAGCAGGGAATGTAAAAAACGGCAGAAACACAATAGACAAGCGCAAATCTGGTTCATTGATGCACACAAGCGATAAACACGCAAGCAATGCCCCTGACTAGGAAACAAAACAAAAATTGGTTTTTAAAATGTGGATTTTAAGGAGTTAAGCCTTACCGTCTGTATGTCTGTTTGACTAGATGACTGCTGAATGACTAACTGACTTACTGACTAGCCAACTGACTCACTGTCTGACCAACTGACTCACTGGCTGACCAACTGACTCACTGACTGACCAACTGACTCACTGACTGGCCAACTGACTCACTGACTGGCCAACTGACTCACTGACTGGCCAACTGACTTACTGACTGGTAAACTGACTTACTGACTGACCAATGATTTACTGACTGGCCAACTGACTTACTGACTGGCCAACTGTATGAACATGTAGGAAAATGACTGACTGGCTACGTAACCAACTGATTTGCAGGCTGACTGACTGACTGACTGACTGACTGGCTGATTGACTGACTGAACTACTGACTGGCTGGCTGAACAAATGAGCAGCTGGCTGAACAAATGAGCAGCTGACTGACTGAGCGAATGACTGGCTGACTGACTGGTTGAACAACTGACTAGCTGACTGACTGACTGAATGGCTGACTGACTGACTGACTGACTGGTTGACCAACTGACTAATGGACTGACAGATCGAGTGGCTAACTGACTGTGAAGATAATTTAACTTTGAATCCTTACCGCTCCTAGTGAAGCACCTACACGAAATGCATTGGTGAAACCAATTCTGCATGCCTGACTCAAGAATGAAGCAAAAACACCTGGAAAATATACATTTGAGCAAATGTCACATAAAGAATGACTATTCATGGTCAAGATTCTCTTTCCATAACTCATCAGTTGACTACTTTTGGAGAAGTTGTGAACTGTTTCTCACAGTATGAATTTGAGATATTTTCAATATGCTTACCTCCAGTAATGTAAAATGCAATAAACTGTTCTTTGCCAAGAAGAGCTGTAAAAGAAATACAACCTTTTTAAAAGTGTATCAAAAGTTTTGGATTGCATCATCCCAGAATATCATGGTTATTTTGGCAAAATACAAAATATAAAATGAAAATTGTATTGAAATTTGTGTATCTTCAAATGAAATACCAACACTGAAAAACAAAACAAAAAACAAAGAAAAAATATCACAGTTTATTGTATTATCTACCTTCTAAATGAGGTGCAAAATTCCAGAGCACAAACATGTTGATAGATAAATGCCAGATTTCTTTATGACTAAAGATAGATGTCAGCATTGTCAGACTTGAGCCTGGAGATAACATTATGAACTTCATCACCAGAAGAATTGTTAAATCATGTTATATGATAAGATGCATTATGTATGCACTTTGATTGGTTTTGGATGTTACCACCAACAACATTTTTCTCTTTTAGAGGAGAGATGCACAGATGAAGTCACTATCAACAACACTTTGGTTTTTGAAGGAAAAACAAATGGATACCATATTGCTGTGGGTCTGTTCAGTTATAGATTGAACAAAAAAGCATCCAAATGTGGTAAGAGCATTGGTGACACACTCAGCTGGGCCTCCGGTGACACACTCAGCTGGGCCTCTAGTGACACACTCAGCTGGGCCTCTAATGACACACTCAGCTGGGCCTCTACACACTCAGCTGGGCCTCTAGTGACACACTCAGCTGGGCCTCTAGTGACACACTCAGCTGGGCCTCTAATGACACACTCAGCTGGGCCTCTAGTGACACACTCAGCTGGGCATCCTGGGCCACTTTTTCTTTCTTACCATGCTTTAACATTTATCTGTGATCTGTACATACAGCAATATGGAATGTGTAAAAATCTTCAACTGATTGATGACTGACCTGAGAATGGAGATGTTGTAAACCACTGGTACATGAACAAATGTAATCTAGGTTGATACCATAACAAAAACACTGCTGTGTTTATGAAGATAATTACAGCTGCTGTCTTTGAGCCTCCGTGCAAAGAGTTCCACCATTTATTTAACTAAACAAAAAACAACAAGTCAACAGGAGATAACCTTTCGACCCCTAACATCAGTATGCATATTCTCAGTACTGTTCTCCGTACAATTCTTAAGGTGCTGATAAGGAGAATTTGTTTAACAATCAATAGCTTCTTTAGTTGGTGATCATTTCCTTTATTCTCATGACCTTAAAGTGTGATTCAGGGTGATAAGGTAAGGAGAAATTAGAAGTTAGTCACTCTTAGTGATTGAAGGGTTAAAGAAAAAGCCACCACATCACTACAAGATCAATTAAATGAAAAATTGAACACAAACCATATTGCGGAAGTCAAATGACTTGGAAGAATGAGGAGAAGGCTTGTTTGTCCTTTTCCCTTGCACATACAAATTTCTGACTCGTTCATAGTTTATAATTGAACATGTTCCAAAGCTCACTACTCCTGTCTAGAGTTACGAAGAGAAAAACTATGTAAGTGGTAAATAACTCCAAAGTAGAAGATAACCTTTGAAAATTGGAAGCAGAACATGAAGACAATAGAATTCTTCTACAGGTCTTGAATTTAGAACTGCTACTATACTTCACTATTTTGATACTGTACAAAATGAGCTATGAAGTCCTACAGAGGAAGACAGCATTTCAAGCAAAGTAAAGAAAGATACTCAGCCACCTGCCTCCCTTCCCCAACCCCCTCCCACTTTTTACCTTTTACCTTCCATCAAGGGAAGGAGGGAGCCTGTGAAATATCAAATTGGGCCTGGTCATTGTTTGCAGTCATACTAATCCTAAATGGTTCTTTGCACTAATTAATTTACCACCAGCCTCCTTCTCAATGGTGATATTGATCATCTTTAAAACTTCAAGACATATTCTAATTTTTAAGAGGTTGATGTTTGGATCACATACTAGCACTGTGAACCCCAAAGGACGCACAATCATCCGTAATTTACTGACGTCGTCTGAAATTTCGGGCTGATTTTCATTTTTTCCGGATGTTCTTCCATTCTGGCCGGGAGTTCTCTCTCGTGGGTGAAACTGTCTTGATCTTGATCTAACACATGTAAATAAAACCAGTACACGTGCAATGAGTCGTTCCTAACGCCTTAAAATTTCTCTTGTCTGAAAATGAAAAATCTATACGTACTACCTGTGAAAAGGAAACCTTACGGACGATGTTTTCCCAGAAAGTTCTCTTATTCCGCGCCGCAAGGGAACGAACACGGCCGCCATGATGACTTCTTTCTTCGGCACCAGTCTTATTAGAGACAAACCAAACACGGACAAGAAAACCTTCCGGCAATAGAAATTTTAATCGGTATTCTCACACAACTTCCTGGGACTACCTTTTATTTATTGCAGCTTGTAACTACAACTTTTCATGCTGTTTTTGTCAGTTCATCCTGTATCGTGGTATGTTAGTTTTGGAGCCAGTCTTTTCTCTCATGCAATGTAACGGTAAGTTAACTTGTGCATCTACATAGTTTCCTCTCTTGGAACAAAGATAAAATAAAAATTTAACTACCTATGACATATTAAAGTTCACACGGCAACCAGGTGAACAATCAGACATGGTTTGATGCTACTCTGGTTTACAGATTTAATGAATGTAACCGAAGAAGTTACAGTTCATAGACCCAACATTTCGACACTCCTGTTTAGTGCCTTCATCAGGGGTGATCTAAACGCTGCAACAATTAGTGATCATATCAACGGACCTCTTGTTGCAGCGTTTAGATCACCCCTGATGAAGGCACCAGACAGGAGTGTCGAAACGTTGGATCTATGAATTGTAACTTCTTCGGTTACATTCATTAAATCTGTAAACCAGAGTAGCATCAAACCATGCCTACTTATGGCATTTTATTCTTCAGCGATCATATGTTTCAGATTAATCGTGCGAAAAAAGAGATCATGACATCACTAAGGGGCTTTCCGCAAATAATAATAAAGAAATTGACTTCCCATGACAACTTCTTTAATTGTTTGTTTGGGATGCAACTGTAAAAACATAAAAATAGACGTCGAGGGGGTTGATATTGCGCTTGGTTTGGATCAAAGAGATTTAAAGGATATTGCCACACAACATTAGTTAAGTTAATTCTCCACTTACGATCCCCTTTCGGTGTCCGCTTTATAGAGGCCGATCATCCTTAAGAAGGTCTCCCCCTAAGCTTATTGTTTTAGAAAATATGACCTAGGAACCATGAACGAGAGGCGGCGATCGACTCAAAGTGACTTTTTCGTGTAGACGTGTCAGTGAAGAAAGTGTTCACTCTGTGATAATACATGCAAAAAACACAAGAAAAAGCCGAATCAAAGGGAAAAAACACCCACCACATCCTTGTAAGCCACTTAGCAGGACTCCTGAGACGAAAAACCATTTTCATTCAGCTCACGAAACAGGAGTCATTAAAAAATAATTAAATTCAAAACAAATGTTTGATAACTTGACTATATACCTTCAGCGACGACGATATTAGATGTATTGTGTAATAGTACTGAACTATTTGCTTCACGTCAACAGAAGAGAACATATGTTAATTTAAAATTTTAATAAAAGATAATTAGGACCATATGGCCTGACATGAAGGCACTTGGCTGTTTTATGTTATGATTTCTTCTTCGAGCGATATTTATCTCGAAAACCTGAAGTATTTGTACACCCTATAGCTAAGGGAAAGTGTGTGTAACTAATCGGTAATATGATACTGGAATCTGTTGGTAAATTTCACTTAAATTCGGTTTGTGGTAAGACTGATTTAGTTAATATTATTATTATTTATAGTTTTTTCCATCAGATTGCCTGCCTGAACGCGAATAACAGCTAAAGGTGAAGGACAAACCCCTCGCCGGCGGACAGGATGATACGCCAAGCTTCCAACGATATGAGAAGATCGGTCGAGGAAGGAAGGCGTCATACTCAAGCGGCGTTGTTTAGAAAGTGTGCATGTTACTTCTCACGCAGAGGAAAACCCAATCTTAAGGGAATTGGAAACCATTTTATATGCGGAATGGTCGGTTTTTTTGCCGAAACTGTGTTTGCAAAATTATTTATACGGTGCAAGAATGATACCAAGTTGACTAATATAGGAATCGAAGGACACATTTACAATTCAAACTATAGTAGGTGCTTCAGAAAGAGGAAATTACCTGTACACACTTGGCAGTAATAGCAAAAACCCTTATAAAAAAAAGCTGTAAAGAAGAAGGTTAAAAATAGGAACAAAATATACAAAATGAAGCAACGTACCAACGAAGCAACGTTTTATCAGTGAGATGATTCATGGAAAGGGGGTTATCGGAAGGAAATTTCTTTCAATGTCTTCAGACATTTTAGTAATGTTATGAATGTGTCAGCAAGACAGTGTAAAAAGGTTTTTTTATCGTCACTTTCCAATGGAATAGACTTTAAATGGTGCAAAAATAGATACACGGATTAAATAAAGATATTAAATTTGTGGTTATTATTATCTGGTTTTATGGAAGATCTTCATTTGAACTTAAGTCAGTGTTGGTTTACTCACCGTGGTGCAATTTGTAGGACAATTAACTAAGTCGAAAGCATGGGAACGAAATGTGGTCCTAGAAATGTCGATGAGGTTAGAATGATAACTAAACTATTGTTTATGGTCATATTTCTCAATTAATATCCAGGAAGCCACTGAGAGTGATTTTTTTTTTCGTTTGATTAATGGCAGGAAAACCCGGTTACCCGGCTCAAACACCCACAAAGGCGATAATTACTAAATATCGGATCAGCAAACCCAGTATATTTCCGTTTATTTTAGCACTTCTTCGTCTTGTGGGATATTTATCAAGTTTGAGGTTTAATTTTTCATCTCGGCACAATCTCCTTTTTTTCCTCGGTGAACCACAGGAAGATTAAAAAGTGACTCCTATGTTTTTACGTCAATTGGCGATTCTTTTTTCTCGTTTCGTATCGAGTTAACTTAAGTGTTGAAGTCGTTGAGACAAAAACAGCAAGGGCCGGCGCATCTTTACTAATTATTAGACAATGGGTAGTCCAATAATCGTATTTCTCACAAGCAGAGAAATTTTAACAACTAAAAGAATCAGAAAATAGGATTTCCGTCGGTTAGGATTGATGTTTACAAATGCGGTTTATCGGTATTTACTAAATCACGTTTAATCCAGGTCCTACAGGCCAAGAGAAAGCCTGATTCTAATTTCGTCAAGCCCTTTTGCTTCCTGTCATTACTAACTTTTATTTCACAGACCAGTACAACAGCTACAAAAAAAACAGAGGAAACGTTTACAGTCAAAAACTACAGCTTATTAAATTAAATGGTGGTGATTTGAAAAAAGTAATCATTGTTGTTAACATATCAACGGAATATTGATTTATGAAAATCAAATAGCGAAAATTGCGTTTGCGTTTTTTTCCCTTTTTTTAATTCAAGCTCAGTAATTGTCTGCTTTCACAAATCTGTATCAGTTAAAACACAAATAATTTACATGTACCGCGGTCCGCTCAGTTCGTTCCCTCGATCTTCATTACCTGTTTTGGGAACTTTGGTTTCAGAGTTCTACGATTTAATGATGAAAGCGAGTTAGCGCAGAAAAAAAAATTGTATCTGCATGACCTTCTCTCATCCAGGTGTGTGGTATTTTGATCGCCTAATTCCCTTCCATCAAGGAATCATCATGAGGTTTGTTTCTTATCCAGTTTTCTTAATAAATAGTTTCATCACTGCTTGAAAGAGCTTAGGTGCAGGGGATAAAGGTTTGACTTCAGGCTAAAGAACGGAGCTGAGAAATTGCACAAAAATACCATAGAGGCTGAAGAGGAAGACATGTTAATAATAATAGGAATGATAATGATGATACTAATAATAATAAAAATAGTTATAATGATAAGGATGATAATGATAATAATGCAGGATGATTGATAATTATGTTTATAAAATAAAAAAAATGTAATAGGCTATTTTTATTAATAAGAATAATAATTATTATAATGTTATTTATAGCTACCTGTCTCGCGTCATCATGATAACGGCATAACTTGTAAATACAGCGCTTCTTCCCAAATTTTCCACACGGCCGATCAAATATCATAGAGCGTTCATTGGTTCCTCTGTCATGATTGACTCGCTGGTAAATCAAGAATGCTGGAACACGCTCAGAAGTTGAATCGTGCACGTTTGTTTCTTTCTATTTTCGTCATTGCAACTGATTGGATTAAAAATCAACTTATTCACACTGATTGGATAATTTCAGCACCTTGCACGATTTTGCTGGCGTACGTACCGTAACAACACACCGACACAAATGAAAGTATTGCCAGCTTTAAAGAAAAAAAAATGGCGAACCAGTGTGGATTTCGAAAAACTCCTAAAAAACTTCTTGGTTCTGAAGATGGCCCCAAGCCGCCGCTCCCCCTCCAAAAAAATTGATCTTGCTTCTCAAAGCTCGGGAAACTTTTTTTCTCTCTTTATTCTCCTTGAGTTTTGACGTCGCTGGAAAAGGTCCAGAAGAGCCTCTATCCTTTTATACTTGAAGTGGAATGAGTAAGTGAGTAAACAATTTTATTAATCTGAAACCTTTCAGCATGAGGTCTGCAAGTTATGCGTCATGTGATTATTGAGGTATAAAAATCACAGTTAATCCGCTTTCTAGTCTGTTATTCATTTAACCCCTGGGCAAAATGTGTCAGTGAGAAGATGGATTTGAAAACTCCAATCACGCAATGATTCCTATTTGGAATAAACACTTAAAAATCTGTTTTTCTTTCTTCAGAAGCAATTGAATTATTTTACAGTAACACGGCCATTGCGAAAAGAGAAACGATATTTCCGTTTATCTTCCCTCAAATGTCAAGACTGAGTCATTGCTGCAGAGCAAAATTAATCTTACCAATAATGCGATGGTTTTCGATGGTACGTCAAAAATAGCTTGTGAACTCACCGCGCAAGTCAGTTAAATTGTGTGCTAAGTTCCGTAATCGGTACTAATTGACAACGAAGGAGACCCCACATTTAAAACGTTATCCATACCATAAAAGAGATTGCGATCAGTTGAAAATATCGTGATATTTTTTTCATGTTTGTAGGTTTCATTCTTTCTTCCAGACAAATTATCAGACAAATGTCCTGAATTCGAACGCTTGACTGCCTGAAGTTTGACGTTTATCGATCTATTTATGATAACATTCTGAGTGCCGCAGCGTTGCTACGTACTTGAAATGTTTAGTTAAGATATGAATGAAGATTTCTGTTAAGTTTCTTGTTTTGTCATGTACGCTTCAGGCTGACAGGGTCTTCAAAAAAGCTTGAAATATTTTTGTAGAGATTGTTTGTATATAAAATGACAGAGTAGTTTTGATGTTTAACATTCATTTTCATATAAGCACGCGATTTCGCCGCTCTTTGATTACACTTTTATCCCTACGATGGCTCCCGAGGGCTATCATTTAACGGTTTAATTTTCATGGTCACGTTAGAAATATTTATTAAAAAAGTTCCCACTAAAATCATTTGAAATCAATAAACCATTCCTAAATGACCTTATAAAGAACAGTCAACATAAAGATTGTAAAAATTTGCTGTCGTTTATATTCTATGAAGTAGGTATTCGTCAACATGGAGGAAACGTTCCCAAATCCTTTCAAGAATTTAAGCTAACTCTTCGCAGCGAAATTTGCTAAGTATATCAGTTTGCGTCCGCGGTGAAGGTTCACAACAATGGAACGAATTGTTAATTGCCTGCTCTTGAATGTCTGTCCTCTCTGTAAGTGGAGTCTAAGTGTGTTTGCCCAGCCAAGGTAACCATTAACTGACATAACAACTAATCATAATAAAAATGTCTTTGCTTTCAGTTTCTTGAGAGGCCATCATTAAAGTGATAAATGACAGACAAGTTTGTCCGCCCTAATTTACCATATTGCCTCGGGCATCACGACAATTGACTATGCAGTCAATTCAAATCCTGCTTGAAATATTATAGACAGCACGTCCATGAGTGTTTGGAAGTGTTTTCTTGGCTTAACGATTCTCTTTGATTACAAACGGAGTATTGCGCACGTTTCCTTTCTTCAGATGGGACCGCTCCCTTGGTTTTCCCTCTTCTAGGGCCTTTGAAACCGGAAAAAAAGAAAAAAGGAATCTGCTTTTTTTTCAAAACGATGTTAGTTCTGAGCGGCCCGAGGACGGATCATATCTTATAAAGGCTCTTAGACAGGAGATTTTGAAATTGCAGCCCGCAGATAAGAATGAATTTTTAGTTACTTATGAGGTCCTAGAGATCTCTTAGCTGCAGAACTCATTCGTGTCCCGTTGATATGTTGCTGAGAGGCGTGCAAGATAAAAATGCTCTCATAAATACAACTTGGATACTGCCACAGTATTTATATTGCTCAGTCTGCATTCTGACCGTCACTCCAGCATAAAGATTTAGATGAATTTTATAGATAAGGAAATCTTTTAATATTAATGTACTCGGATCTGGAAGCGAACTGTGTCGAAGAACGTTTGCATTTTTTGCTATAACTCTTATTGTTTGAAATTTTTCACCAGATGTCGAATGAAACAACATTGTTATTTAAGGAACTTCACAGGGAAACTTGAGTAACTTGAAAGTTTAAGAAGTTACACAAGTTTCCGATACGAATGCCATAGACTACTATTTATATCAAAGATTCAAGTGCTAGGAAGTATTGAATAACTGAATTCTAATTTTGGATACCGAAGTTTTTACACAAATGCATCTTTTATCTATTTAATGCACTTAATAAAGATTTCATTTCAGGTGTTTTCAATGTATTTTGATTTAATGTACAGAAAGAAGCTGCCAGATTATCAATCCCCCCTCTTCCCAAAGAAGTGTATTTCATGTACGCGGGAATGCCTGTGAATGTCGTCTTGCACTTGTCAGTTCTCTCTCCTACCTCGCCCATAGTTCGGAAATACTTGTCCTCCCACGTTTCCTAATCGACTAGGACGGAAATAACTTCTCGGGAGTACTCGGATCTCGAGATCATGCAATCGGAGCAGACCTAAGAGTTCAGGATATCTGCCAGAAAAAAAGAGAGCAGTATCGTCAAACTTTAGCTTTGAATACGGGATGATACTGAGTTAGAAAACAGCTGTTTCCTTTTCAACCTTCAGTCGGTAGCAGTTTCAGTTTATTTCGAAACGTTTAGCCTGGTAAATTATGATCCAGTTTTTTCAAATAAGAAAAACAGAGCAGTTCCGGCGATAACGCAGGACGAGATATCGACTACAACACGCGGTTTCTCAAGCGTGTGTTATCAGCGCATAGAGTAAGCTCAAATATCTGCCCCTTCCATGTGTGCTTGCTAAGCAACAAGCCGGTTGTTCTGTCTGGCTGGTTAAAGATATTATTTTCTATTTTAATTTTACACCATTACCTGACATGGTTATTGACAGGGAATTTCGTGGTATCTGATACCACCTCAATTAATTACCGAACGCGCGGTATTGAAAATATGATACTACTTTTAAAAGAATGTTGACTACTGGATGAAGTTTATTGCCAGAAAGCCATTTTAAAGCGCACGTCGTCGAAAAATGGGTTTCCCACGACCAATCTTTGACCCACGAAAGCCGGAAACATGAAATTTCGAGAAGTTTCTCTTATCTCAAAGCTTACTTCAAGAAAATATGAAAATCCAGAATGACCTGCAACTTCGTGTTTGTTTTATGATTTGCGAGGATACATTGCCATAAATTGCGCGCCGGAACATATGTTAGATTAACCGAAGGACAGTTAAATTAGGGCCGACCTTTCAGATGAACTCAAATCAGGAGACAAACATAGTGTCTTGTTGAAGAAAGAAAAATAAGAGCTGAAGGGGCATCGGCCTGTTGATTAAAGGATTGACCTTAGCTGTATCCTTTGAAGACAAAATTGTCCGTAATCTTTTTTATTTGCCCCCACCATGTGTTGTGTGGCAAGCGAAAGGTTATCAAGTTACACGTGTTGCTTTGAAACAAAGCCAACCTTTTCTAGCATGGTTTTCCACTATTTCCATATTGCATAATCATCCTGTTCACCACCTGTCAAATTTGTTGCTGACTTCAGCGAACTTTTATCGAATGCCACTATCTGCTGTCCTTACAAGCTGAGTCTTGTAAAAGTTGATTTCTAGGGAAAAAAATGAACTAAATTATCTCAAGCTTCTGTTGTGAAAGATATAAAAAAAATGTTTCTGATGATTGCCAACTGAGTGAAATTACTTCGGTTTTGCAATCAGTGAGATTTACCTTTTTTTTTAAGGTGCCTGTTTTTCAATTTAATACCAAACGCTTGATTGTAATTAATGTATCAGTCAAATCCATACACTGAGAAGAAAGTACTAGACGTTAACTATTCGTTAAAGCTAAATAAAAGGCCCCTTATTGAGTTAGAGCCTCTTACTGAAGATAAAAGAATATAATTCTGTTGGGGTTTAAAACTTTAATGGACTGGGGTCTGGTTTCACGTAAAGATTTGATAAAATGCTGAATCACAGATGCGCCGAGTGCAATGAAATGTGCAGATATAGCACTAAAATATTAGAGGATAGTGGAAAGAAGTTACCTTGCAAAATATTGTAAGGTGGCACATTTAGATTTTGGTTGCCTTAGGAATCCTTATAATGGCTAAAATTCAGCTTATTGTAACTAAATCAACATTCTTTAGTTAAGATCAGTTTAGTACTTTATTTCAATTTTAAGAGCGGAATTCCAGTGTGGCCAGAATAAGAACTGCCTGTTTCCCTGTTTGAATGAGTGATACACCCAATTCGTAAGCTTGGGCTTGTTTTTGTTTAAGTTTCAATTGTTACACTGGAATGTAAAGAAAAGCTTTTGAAAAAGACCCTCCCTACAAACCGCTTATTAACCAAATAATTTTCTGCTGTGTAAATTCCGTTTGAATTACCACCCAAGGGAGTTGTACGTCATCAACAGAAACAAATGATAGCTCTGTGCCATTGTGTTCACCGGACAGTCACGTACTTTCCTACCTAATCCCACTTATTTTCTGAGGTAGCCTTTCAGGACACAAGCATACAAACATGGGATGAAAGTTAACTGTAGTACTAAGTAAGGGGAAAGTTAATCAGTAACTTATCTGAATTTACCCGATTGCGCAAACACTGATTAAAATTTCTGTCGGTAGCGGTTTGGGCAGTTAAGCAGGCGAGGGAGAGAAAATACATTAGAGCCTACATCTATCCTTATCTGTGTATTTTACGAATTGCTCTGTAAATTATTTTATATGCGATTGGATTTGATTTGTATGTGTGAAAGAGTTTTTTTCAGCAAGGAAATTTAGCGCTAACAAGTGGGAATTCTGTTTTTTACCGAGTCACAGTCAAAACTTCTCTTTTCAAGGTACTTGCGATCGAAAAAAACTGAGCCCTTTTCCGAAGCAGATTTAACCGAGAGAGGTATGTTTCCGATGCAATTATCGATGGCAAGGTGTACCATCCATTTATCGATACAATCAGCTGAAAAATGCGCCTCTCTAAAAGTTTTGAATTTCTGTTCAGCGCAGTTCAAGATAATAACTTCCTTAGTTTTGTTCTACTTCAGACAAAAGAACTGAAACTCGCTAATGTTGTCGCATTAAATCATGTTGTTTTACTGATGTAACAAAGACGCGTAAATCCAGACTTTGCTGTACATTTGCTGTTAAAATATTTCGACCAGACCGTTATAAACGAAGGAGATTTAAGGAAAAAGAAACCCTCGGGATGATAGAGAGCCATTAACACCTTCGCCTGAAATGGTGCTTGGTCTTACAGAAACTTCAATACAACGCCTTTCCCTTAATTTTCCTTTCTTACAAAAGATCTGACGTACTGCTATTATAATGATTTTTTTTTCGTCGTTGATGCGATTACTGGAGTATTTATCTGTTAAATTAACCAAGTTTGTTTAAAGCATGCGGAAATTAGCGGGCTGAACGTGCAGTTAATTTTTTCCGCACTCGTTTTCCTCTAATAAGTCTTTAATCTTTTTTGTGTCCCTGTTGGTTGTTTGCTATGTGGAATTCTTTGGCAATCATTGTGCTAAAAAAAAGACTCGGCTTAGGGGATGTAAATATAAATAAATTGGGTGATTTGTGGAATTCACGATATTTGAATTTTGATTGGTTAGCGGTAAAAAAGATCCCGCCTCAGAATACGTAATGTCCAAGTGTAATTGTCCACGCTTGTCAACGGGAACAAGCGTAGTAATTAGCGCGAACTCCGATCACAGGCTCAGCGGGTGAATTTATGTTTTACTGCTTTCCCACTGTTACGATTTAGTCAAACATTTATTGTTGCAGCTTTTAGGTCAACTTGACGGAAAGCGTGGACGAACGTACTGCAAGCGACTCACGAATTACGTGGTGCGGTGAAACCTTTGAAGTGACAAGATTTTGTGCTTAGAGCACAGTTGATTGCGTTCGGAGTTTTATCAACAATGGTCTCTTTCTACGTCTTTCTTGTTGTGCTTGCCACCGTTTCTTCTGGTTTTGGTCAAGATAACGATAACGAACCGTCTTGTGCTACAGTGAAGACTGCCTACAGACAGAAAAGGCTGACAGATAGTGATGTACCGCAATGGGCTGTGAAAGGTATACAGTGCTGCATGAAGTGTGCCATACCAACACTCTGTGAGCTTTGTAAATATGTGGTTGTTTCGGACCATTCTCGGTGATATCTACGTTTTGTTAATATTCTTCTCTCGGCATGGGGTATCACTTAGTAAATTTCGCCTTCAATTCTGATATTATCGCTAACACATTTTGTCTTTACATCAGGGGATGACCTTCGCGTCTGCCCGAAAGACAACGGTAAGCAATGCTGCTCACAGCAAATGGAAGATCGCTTCGCTGTCTTTGCGAGCGAAGATTTTGACAAAGCGGTCTCGTCGAAAGTTAGCGAAATGAGGAGACAGTTCCACCTTCAAGAAAAAGCATTTAACGGTGAGTCAGTTACGACAAAATGTACAAAGTGTTAAAAGTGTGTGGATTAAGTTTGAGTGAAAAATGGATCTGCTAATGGCATTTCGAATATACAGAAACCAGCGATTTTTATGCACGCGCTCTTCACGTTAAGCTGATTTCGAGAAGAAAAACTTGCCTCTACGTTTATTTTATTTCGAGTTAATCGCGGATCGGTGTGACCGCGAGCATTTCGTTTACAAGGTCATTTTCTTCAATATAGGTCGATCCGACTTGGTCCACAGGAAATTGAACAAAATTCAAAAGTAAACATCGATGTGCATGCTTGATGCTACTTTACGCATAAGCCTGAAGCAATAATTATGTCACTCTAAATATTCTGTCGTTCCGGTTTTAGGTAATCCCTGAATACGCCAAACAAGAACACACGCTAAGTTACTTAAAGATTTTTATAGCTTTACGAAAATTTTATGCGCCGCTTAATTTAATTCATGTGGGCAGAAAAGACGATGGAATCGAAGGATTTACCGTAAATTTTGAAGTTATCAAAGTAAATAATGATAGCTGCCTCTGTAACCTTATCTTTTCTATCTCCTCTGTGGAATGTCCGAGAAAACAGGCTTAAAATTTATCGGGTTGAGTGTTATAAGCTCCCATGAATCGAGCCTATCTAAGGAACTAGTACTTTCTGTGGCAGTTCTAATGGATACACCTCGATTTTTCGCGAGACCAACCGTACGTCTTGAATAGGATTTTACTCTCAATCGAGTTTGTGAATAGTTCGTGATGTAATTTCGGCAAAGTCTTCCAAACCGTTAGTATTAAATTACTTTCCGCTCTGAGCTGCCTTCGGTTCTACAACGTGTTCATTTGGTAAACTTTTCTTAAAGCCGACAGGGCATGCTTATGTCTGTCGAACAATCGAGGTTAACGATGAACCAGCACCGTTTATTTCAGAGCACATGTTGTTGGGTAATTACTGCACTGAAGGTTTATCTTTGTCAGTAGAGGTCGCACAAATCACTCCAGTTTCTTCTTTGCTTCAGTGTAATCACAAGCGAATGTTAAATTTAGAATCGACTGTTGTTTTGCGCAGTATGCGATTGCCCGAGGCTATTGAATATTGATATTAATCAGAATGGAATATGTTATTTCTTTTATTGTGAAGTTGATTGTTTTCCCAATTTCGCGGTTTTCTCGGGTCAGCGAACGCGCTACCCAAACTCCGTATATATCTTACCACCTAGTGAAGTACTAATGTCGCGGGCTTTGTTCGATCTCATATCCAAAATGTATACTGCATGGGAAAATTGGCAGCGAAAAGATAATGATTTTATAAATCCAACTAAGAAGACAAAACGGAAATTAAAGAAGAAATGAAACAATCTTTCTCGTAGTATGATCGTTATTGGAGTGGCAATGTTGTGAATTATTAAGTAAAACTTTCGCCTTTTACAGGAATAAGTAATGAAGTTTTGCAATAGTGAAGTTTTAATATTAATATTTGTTTTGTCATAGCTTTTTTTATGATCTTAGGGCATTGAATATTGATCCCCCAATTTCCATTTAAACCACATAGTGTCTTGTGGATTGGATTTACAGAATTGTTTGGTCTTTCCAAGTCGTGGTTTAGCAGGGTTAAATACAGTTGTCAAAAGCTTACAAACTACTTCATTTCCTTTATTTCTCTGAGGAAGTTTGATAAATTAAAAGGCCAATTTTTGGGAAATGTCTCCTTTTGCATTGCTAGAAGGAATAGAATGCAGACTCAATGCACATACCAGTCTTTCGCCAAAGCAGTGTTAAACAGGTTTAATTCCAAGTATATTAAGAATATTAATGAACTTCCCTTCCGAATATATAGCTCAAATATGGGCTTTGCCAGTGTCAAAGTGCATTGCTTGAAAAGTGGGTTTGTGAATAAATTCTAAGCAGTGTGCATCAATTTATCACCTTATCTTAACCACAAAGCCATTCTTTATACTTTTTATAACATTCTAGAAATCTGTATCCTTGCTTTGAAGAGCATGAAAAACTTAAGGGCAGACACACAAATAGTTTTATTGGTAAATTCTCAAGCAAAATCCATAGGATTATGCAAATATCTCATAAATCATTGTGACCTGATGGAATTGAAGCTAACATTTACTCTTAAAAAATGTGTGAAATTTAGGTTTAAAAATATAACTGTTGTGATGTAAATTTCGTGAGACCCAAACTTATGAAAGGTCAGACTGTTTAGCCGCAAAATTACCCTCTGTCATGTGAAACTTCAGTGGTTTTGCTCTGAGGAGGTTGGATGACTGTTTTTACTGGTTGCTTGAATATAATGTCAAAAGGTCTTGTATCTGCGTTTTGTAAAGGTGTAAAGTTTGAAATTCAAATTACGGGTACTTGTTTGAGTTTGTTTTATTATATTCTTGGTATTCTAATGTTCTTTCAGAACTAAAGTTATGGCTGTTTCCTTTTTTTTGTGGCAGTATTGTTATATTTTTTTTCATATCACAAAAATGTATCTGTGAACCAGGATCAGAATATTACTTCAGGAGCTGTAATATTCTCAATTGGTCCAGGAACTGAGAAGTTTGTAGAATTTGGCTGCTATTATAGAGTTGGGATCCCCCTGATTAGCAAAGTTTTCACGGGAGGTGGTCAAAATTTTCTCCTAATTACTTTTTGCCCATAACAACATACAAGTGAAATCCTTTATTTTCAATGTTTGTAATTTTTTTTTCTAGAAATGATCAGAAATGTTGCAATTCTTTTTCTTCATTTTTGGCATAAACAAGATATGAGTAACATAATTTTTTTTTTTTCGTTTTGTAATTTTTTTTTTTAATGTTCAGAAATGTTGCAGTTTTCTTTTTCATTTTTGGCTCAAACATCACATGTATAACATCTTTTTTAAATTTTTGTAATTATCTTTTTCTAGAATTGATATGGAATGAAACATATGCCTGAAAGCAAAATAATGATGTTAATTTTGAAGTATGATTTACATCGTTTACAATAGGCTCATTTGCTTTAAAGAAATATTTCTTCAGCTGGATTTGAATAAAACATTGTTATTATCAAAATTGTCTGGACTTGCAGACATCACAGGTGATTGTCACCTGTCCATTTTCACCTAATTTGAGACTTGTCTTAAATGGCATTGTTAATTTCTTGCAGCAAAAAGGTTTTCAGTGATAATTGATTTCTGAATTTTTTACCCTGAATTTAATAGTAACAATACGATTCTTCCCTGGATTATAAACTGGCTTTGCTGAACCTTGGTGTTAGAAGAGTCTACATCCTTACTAAAAGCAAAACTGTAATTTTCTTTTCTAATAGTTAATAATGTTTCAAGTGAAAATGAATAGCAGCAGACATATACAGAGCTGTGAAGTGACCAAGTTAATGCCCACCACTTTTAGTGTCACTGAAGTTGAGAATTGTTTTGGTATATACCATGCATGAACCAAGAAATTAGTTTAATTCTTTCAGTATACCAAAAATGGTTGGAAATTGAACTCTTGTCATCCAGTTTGATGTCATCAGCTGCTCTCTGAGATAATAGCACTTGCTGTATAATCACTTTTGGGCTAGCCAATTGGCGTAGGGGAAAAGAACTATTCATTTGTGTGGTATGTATTAGCTCTTAATATTTCAGTCTGTGGAGAGCTGGACCCATTGTGCGGAAGTAATGTTATTTAAGTTAAGAACAATCTGTCAAACCTCGTAATTATGAAATAGTATTTGTTTAGCTGCTACAAGATGTTTTTGATAAATTGGTTCATAACTTGGCTGCTGTCCTCTGTTTTGTGTAAATTTTAAATCAAATTTAATAAATTTTGCTGGGAAAAGGTAACATTTTTGTGATTTATTGTGGGTTGAACAATAGACATGGCAGTGATGCTAAAGAAGGATTATCATTTAAAAATGTGATGGATGTATGGTCTGAAATGAGTAGGCAATTAAATTGAATTATGTTTGTGTAACAAGCTTGGCATGTTACCATGCACTTCCCCCAGAAAAAAATTGAGATTTGAAACTTTGCAAGATGCAATTTTAAGCATTTTGAGACATAATTAGGTAACTTTTTTTGGCCAGATATTGAGGATAGAATAATTTCCTAAATATGTGTTTTCTGTCTTAAATCACAATTCACAAAGAGGGTGGCACAAAATGAACTGGCAGCCAGTGGGTTGTGACTTCCTACTGGCATCAAATGACAACCTTGGTAAAGATCCTAAGACATGACAATGAGCATGTAGCACTGCATTTGGCTGAATGGGTCTTGGATTGTTTTCTTAAATGAGAAGTGTGCTTCGGAAACATCCTAATTTAAACTATATTTGAATGGTTACTATTTTTCTTGGGTTAAGATTCCACATAGTCACATAACCTTTCCAGAATTGTCTTTTAATGTGATTTATATTCAACTGTTCATGTTCCTTCTGACTTGTCATTCCCAAGTGCTTAAACAGATCACCAAGAAATGGGAAAAAGGGGAGTAAGTCTCTGTTAACCCTTAAATTCCAAAGATCCAACAAGAAATTCTCCCTTTAAAGTCCCTTACATTTCCTTATAAATTTAACAAGAGAATTAAGTGTTCTATCTACTTAGTGAAAGGTGTATGTGAATTATAAGGAGACGTTACTCGTTATCCACTTCAGAGAGTTGAAGGGTGAAATCATGGGTATTTGGCCAGGTTGCTGAATTAGGTTGATACTTTATTGGACACTTAAACTCACTTAAACTCAGTCTGTGACATAATCTTGCAATTACCATTTAAGGGAGCTTGTAAAGTGATGTTGTTTTTAAAGCATTCTTCTGTCGTAATGCCTTTTATGTCTCTAATGTTTTTTTTTCCTCATTTATCCAGCACACTTCCAATCCTTGATCAAGGAATCCCACGAATCACTGGATGCTTACTTCAAGAAAGTCTACGTTCACTACTACTCCCAGAACAGCAAGATATTCTCAGATTTTTATGCAGAATTAATGAAATATTATGAGGGAGAGTCCAGCTCTGACATGAAAACAATCTTAAACAAACTGTTCAAAATTCTCATGCAAAAAATGTTCCAGATCATGCATGCTCGTTTCCAGTTCAGCAATTCTTATCTGGAATGTATACCAAAGCATATGGATCAGCTAAAACCTTTTGGGAATTATCCAGAAACGTTAACCTCTGAGTTGAGAAGTGTTTTAATTTTTGCAAAGGCCCTTACAAAAGCACTTGATGATGTTCATGATGTTTTCATCATGCTTGAGAACTCAATTTCTTCTAAAGACTGTCAGGATCAACTCATCAAGCTGAAATACTGCTCCTGGTGCAAGGCTTTGACATCATTAAAACCTTGTCATCAGTTTTGTATGGATGTACATAAGGGTTGTTTGGCTGACATAGCAAAGGTGAACAATCAATGGCAACGCTACCTGGCGGCAGTGAACGAACTTTTTGAGAAGCTTTCAGGGGTATACAATATTGAAATTATCCTGTCCAAAGCGCACATCAAGATGTCATTTGCCATCATGAATTTCCAAGAACCAACTGTGGCTAAAGCTGTCGAGGAAAGGGTAAATTAAAATTTCTTTCTTTTCGTCCCCTTATTTTTACTAGAGGTTTCTCCTGAATTGTTGTATCTCACAGCTGGTCCATGTTTGTGGTGGCTTCATGAGCTCCTTTATTTAGTGGGACAGTTTGCGCCTTTGTATCAGGCAATTCGGTCTATGTACCCAGAGGAGATTTCTACCTGATTGCTGTTCACACAAAAAATTGGATCTCTGTTGCTAAGGTCAACAACTAGCATTCCATCAGGTTGAAACGGTAAACAAGGCTATGGTTTTTCATTTTGTAGAACACACTTGAATTGAATTATGCATGATGTGACTTCATTACAAGAGAAACTATTACATCAGTGATTACAACATGTCTACTTGATGCTGATAAATGCATGGAAGAGTTGTTAAAACCAAGATTGTGCATTTCAGACTGGAAAGCCTTTGAAATTGAATGAAGATTTATCAATCAGTCTCAGATTTAAGTGACAAGGGAATTTTGAGGGGTATTCTGAAATTTCTCCTTTTTTTTCAGTTTTTTCTTGTGTGTCTTTTTTTGGTCTGTGTGCCTTTTTCTTTGATACAAGTGTTTATGATCTTCTTTAGTGTAATTCTGTTTCTCAATAAATATCCTGTCACCATATGCTGAAAAAGGAAGCCTTGGATTCCCAAACTTAGTTGATTAAACATCATTTTCATGCCCTGGAAATGAGATGCTTTTAAAGAACAGTGTATTTATACATGTCTTTGATGCTGAGTTTTACATGCTTGCTATTCTAAACTTTCTCAGGTATTCCAAGTATGTGGTAACCCTGAATTAACTAAGAGATCAACAGATGACTTTTTCCTTGAAGGAAACAATCGACAAAGAAGAGAAAATGATGCTGCTTTACCCAAAAAATCAGCAGATGTCACCTTGGAATCGTAAGTTTAGAAATGTGCCATCTCCGTTTTTGGACTAGAAGGGTGATGTTAGTTGAACAGTGAGGAAGCTGTTGTGTCTTCATTTTGAACCACTATTTACAAACTTTATTAAGTTGAATACAGATCTGAAGTAAATTTAATAAATAAGGGTGCAGGATATCCTAAAAAAAGAAGGGCTTGTCGGAGTGGGATATCCTACATTCTTAAATGCTTTAAATTTAATCAATTGACTTCAGTAGTAAAGCCCACACACACTTATACACTTGCTTTCATACCAAGGAACATACATAAGCATATACAGGCACACACAAAAAAAACTCAAATTATTTAAACTGATGACTATTTAATGAGACTTGGTGGCGATCAAAATTATGAATTAAATTAATTAATACATGTCAATATAGAAGCACTTCAATTTCTTTTTGAACAGATGTAGGCTTCTTGACTTGAAATATTCATCAATAATATTCCAAGTTTTAGGACTTTGGAATTTAATACTGAAAAGGCTTGTAGTTATGAATAAGGGTGCAGCATGAAATGGTACAAAGAGTTCCGTCTTGAACAAACGTTTGTCAGTTCAATTACCTTGGAAGACTTTATGTAATCTTGCCTTGGGAATTTTGATTACACAAGGTGTGATCGCATTTTTGATAGCAGAAATTCCCTCTTCTCTCTCAGATTAAAAACAGACTTCAAAGCCGTAATGAAAATGGCTGATAACTTTTGGACTTCGCTACCAGACATGTTATGTAGTGACATAGCAGCTGAAAAGAATAACCCCTCAGAGTGTTGGAATGGTGCTGGTAAAGGAAGGTAAATATTTCCTCTTGTTCTGTTACCTTGATCTCATCTCCTTTATATAACTAGACCCTGTGAGCAGGGTAACTGGGATACCTGGATGGTACTGGATCCGTGGAATCAAGTGTAGTGATACTACGCGTGTCGGACTAGTATACTGAAATAGTGAGCTCAAGTGTGGCCAAGGGCATACACCTGTCTCAAAACATAGGCATGCTATGCATGCAAGAGTTATTTTTGGTAGGGTGGGTGGATTACTTGAAACATTGTAAGTGGTCTACATTCTTACAAAAGGAAAGAAGATTATTAACGCGGGAAAGAATGAAAATGTCAAATTACCTCACACACAGGTATTTTGTGGTAGATTATGTGTGTTGTGCGAATAAATGTAACCAAAAATAAACTGTATTGGTGCCATGGATACCTGTTAGTACAAGATGTAGACAGCAGACTGCAGACTGGATACAAAATATAGACTGCAGAGTGGGTACAAAGAGTTTTTACGTCTGGTATATAATAACATGTCATCTTACAGCTTACTGAGCGTCACGCAATCGCTTTTCTGCGATCAGCCTTCACGATTATTTGCACTATTGTGGAAAATTCCTGGCCCATTTCTTGATGAAAATCGATCGTAATATAAATTCAAGCCTTCAACATAGTTGGTTGGTGTGATGTCTGTACAGATTTTACCAATGTAATAAAAGTAGATGACGTGAATAATAGTGATGGTAAAGCAAGCTTAAAACGGCAACAATCGCCAGAAACTAAAACGGATACAAAACGGAGGGTATGAGTAAGTTTTATTGATTTTACGAGAAAAATCTTCATATTTCGAAATATTTATCGTTGTAAATCGACCATATTTCGTTCCCTTTACTATTCCTTATAACGTGTTCAAATTTTCAACGGTTCCTAGCATAACTCACTCTGAGTCACACAACGTGTGACGCGTTCGTGAATTAATCGTTGGCTTTTTCTCGAGACGTGACCTTGGGTTGCCTGTGACAAGACAATTGAGTAAACAATACTTGACATAAAAACATTATACACAAAAAACACGGGGTTTTGGATCATGTATTTATTAAAAAAGAATATCCATACAACTACAATGAAAACAAATATAAGATTCACCTTTCTGATCGTGAAATTAATACCATTCGCACTGTTATCATAGCTACGTTCCCTGGCATCAAGTGAATCCAACATGGCGTCTTTCTTCACAAGCAGTTTGCATCCATTTGAATTTTGTTCTTCAGTCTCACGGTAGTAGTGTTGTTCAATAGATTGCATAGAGTATATGCAGTTTGGTTTCAGATTTCAGATTTTGCTTTATACAACGAGTTAACGTTTTCAACTAAGACATTGGCATACTTAGCATACAAGACATACAAGGCATTCAATGCTTTCATGGCTTTCAAGCGTTTGCGATTCAGTCCGTTCCAAAATTACCGCTCAATAACATCTTTTTGTGTGGATTGGCCGCGAACAATACGACTTGTGTATGCGTCTATAAGTATTTTGAGAGTTTGCGCCATAATGCTCCAGATGATCGTAATCCAAACACAATGAAATACAAAACGACTAACAAAAGAATTTTATGGGCAAAAATCTCGTGTTCGTCATGTGACCCGGCCCTGTCCGTGCATGACAACGTCAATCATCATCAAGATAGCACGCGTGATCAGCATGTGAACACCTCATTGGATCACAGTTAGTTGTCATGGTGTTGAGGGCCCAGTGACCTCTGGGTACTATTGCGCAATTTTTCCATTTTGTGGCGGAGGAAAAAAAAAAAAAAAAAAACGACAAAAAAACAAAGGCATTTTATGACTGGGCTACCACAGGTATCCCAGTAATTAGCAAGGTGGTAGTGGCAGTAGGGCTACTGAAAAGATGGTTAGACAGGTATGGTCAGATGAAGACTAGAAGCGTAGCAGTTCAATTGTCATGATTGTCAATCAACAGATTGACTCTACAGTTGAGAATGACTTGAAATCATGTAACATTTCATTAACCCCTTCAACTCCAATGAGTGACCAAGACAGAATTTCTATTTCAAGCAAGTAATAAGATTAAGACAAATATCAATAGGAGAATCATTGGTTGATCCAATAGGAAATTCTCTGAACTAACATCAGAACAATTGTATGGAAGACAGGAAGGAGAATCAGTAATGAGATCTTAAGAGTGAAATGTTTGCTCCTTACACTATCAGTACAATATCAAGTAGACAAGTAAAGAGAATAAAGAAACATATCAATTAGGGGATTATTGCTTGATCCAATTCCAAATTCTCCAAACTAAAATCACATAAATTGTATGGCAGAGAGTAAGAAGAATTAATCATGAAATCTTGGGAGTTAAAGGGTTAACAACTCATGAACAAAATATCTGTTTTCTTTTTCAAAGTTACTCAAGCCCTGATGATGGAAAGAATGCCATCGAAGAAAACCAAGCACCATCTGTGTTAAAAGCTAGTGAAAAATTGAAAAACATTGTGAAAATGATTGAGGAATATTCCAATGCTGCAGTGTATGGGGATGAAATAAATATCGTCACCACAGACAATGAGGATGATGATGAATCAGGAAGTGGGAGTGGTGATGGAAGTGGAGGCAGTGGAGGCAGTGGAACAAATGAAATACCAATTGGCACAGATGCACCACCTACAGACCCCATCAATGGGGTTGATGGCCTTGACAATGATGATAATGTTGTTGGGGGAGGGGTGGGTGGAAACACTCAAGGACAATCAAGGAACTCTGCTTCACAAACTGTAGTTGGAGCATGGTTGTTCTATTCAGCAATTTTATTGTTGTGTTCTTCACTTGTACCATAATGGTATTAATGGAAGTGGGATTCCTGTCATTGCCTACAACACAAAACATTTGCATCATACTGTACAGTACGGAATGGATTGTCTGCACTCAGTTTCTTTGAAAAGATTATTTAGTTTTGATACTGGTCATCAAGGCATTGTCCATGTTATTCAGTGCAAAAATTTCAATCCAGCCATCATCTCAAACTGTGCAAGAAACAAGCTAGACTATGAATGAAAAATATCAAGCTTTTTATTTGTGAATATGGGAATTTATTTTTACAAAACATGACTGGAATGAATGTTAATTAATTGATTTGTAAAGTTTTAAGTTTGCACAACTATTTGAAAAATCAGTAGTTGTTTTTTCACTTCAAATTCCTGCTCAAAATGAACTTCAGTTTGCTACAGTTATCATAAGCTCTTACAAATAGTCTATGGTATTAAGACTTGACAGAAATTGTATATACAATTGGCCCCTCTTTTGTGGCACTTTGATGCCCAATGTTGATAGGAGGTAGTTGGAAAGGCTTCAAGTGTCATCTCATATAGTATTTGTTTGGATTTTGTAAAAGAGGGAGCTTTGTGCTCAAATTTTTTTAAAACTGCTTTATTGGACATAGTGTGCCATTTGCTTATACTTTTGGAGCTTTATTAGACACTGGCTGAACTTGAAATGTCATTAAGCTTGTCAAGAGAGGAAGTGCTCCAAATTTAGTTATCAACAACCAGAATATAGAAAAGAAGTAGTTTGTAAATCTATGTCACAGGCACTTGGAGATAAGTGCAAGTAACTTTAAGACTGGTTATGCATTGGGTAAAGTGGTTGGTTGTGAAAAATGTGAAAGCCTCACATTTTCTTCACTCCTTCCTTGAATGAACAAGTTATCTTGTCAATGGCAGGCTTTTTAAAAATAACACAAGTGCAATTTGTGAATGAGTTTTAAAAGTAATCATGGATTGCTTTAATTGTAATTGGCATAGCGTTTGGTTAGATCCAGAAAATTGATTGAGTGGTTTCAACAAATGGAACGCAAAACTAACCTAATCATGATTTTTCATTAGTATTCTCACACGGTTGAAATCGAGAGTTTCTTTTTCATTTGAGCTCTTTGGGCTTTTGTATACTTCCCTATTATTCTTATGGGCTGTTGTGATTGTGTTTTTTGGTGGTTTTGTAATACTCAATTCAAAGGCGCTCTTAGTGAGAGGGATGTAATCCTTCAGTGGTTCAAACTTGTTTGAATAGAATCAGTGACTAATTTCCACCTTTTGAGTTCATTACTATTATTCATGTTTGTCTCAACTCTTTAACCCCCATGAATGACCAAGACAGAATCTCTCCTTACATCCAAATTGTATTGCAGAGAGTAAGGAGAATTAGTGAGGAGATCTAGCGAGTGAAAGACTTAGAAGCTAAGGTGAATATCACTAGAAGCAGGAGTTAAATTGTTATGACCACTGTTTAAACTGTACTTTTATAGAGAAAGGAAAAAATTTATTTTTCTGATCACTTTGTAACTTGTATGAATTAATACTGGTACCATTTGTGTTTTTTAACAATGGGCATTTGATAGACTACTAAAAGAGAAGTCTTGGTATGTGATTAAGAGCTCCTCATGGGCTTGGTTTTTTTTTTTTTTAATGATATTTGATATGATCTTCTGTAGAAATTCTTCCTGGTCTTGGATTTGTCACAATTTTTAACTTGTAAAGAAATCATCTGATGACTTATTGAAATTGAAGGAAAATTTTCTGTTTGAAGTATTTTCATTATTGTGGTTAGATAAATTTATATTTTCAAAAGTGGATTCACACACCAAAGTTGCTTTTCCTTCTTTCAGTGTTCCACTAGTATGTTTTTTTTCTATCAATGTTCAGTACAAAATAATTATCCTGTGACACAGTTGTTAAGTTGGTGTTTCATTATCAATTTCTTGTAAGGGAAATTACTGTATGCAGAGACAATATAACTAGTAATATACAACAGATTTCAAATAAAAATGACTTCCAATTCTGGAGTCAACACATCACTTGCAGTTTGTTAGACTTTTCATGAAAGAATTGTTTTTACATGAGATGGGTTTTTGGTAGTCCAAGGGGATTGTCCACATCTTGATTAAAAATAACCATTGTAGTTAATCAACCAAATTTTGAGCTTATAGGCAGCGTAGGCAACGGCAAATGAACACTTTGGTCTGATTCCTGCTAACCGAAGTAATACATCCTCAAGATGTGTTATGAAGCAGGCCTCTCTCATGGGATAAAGCTACATCCTCACTAGGAATCAGCAATGTGTTTGAGAGAGACAATGAAAATGAATGTTCTACCCTCACTGGATTGTTTCTGAACACCTCCATCAAGAAGAAGATGCAATGCAAACTGTGGTTTCGCTAAATGACCTGTATAATACATCTTAGCTGGATAAGCTTGTAGGCATACTTTAATCCTGCTTGTAGCCTTGGACAATTCTAAGTGATGACAATGTATCCATTCATTGAAGCTTCAAACACCCCCACCTCCCCACGCATTGTTAAATTGCAGATTGTTAAAATTCTCTCCCTGACTGATGTACTGGATGTTCAAGATGATAGCCAGAAGTTGTATTATCTTCATAGCTCACTGCAGACAACGGAACAATTATTTACAAAGCATCGTTTCTGGCATAATTACTTTTATTAATAATCACTCATAATTATAATCAATGATTCTACTTTATCATATGTACACCTTAAGAAGAACTTGGTGCCATGTCAAATGCCTTTTTTTCTTAATCAAAATTACGCTTTGAGCTAGCAAACATGTTGGCTGTAAATTTATCAATGTATGTATTAAAAAGTATAGTTTCTAATACTAATTGTACTTAATCATGAAACTGTGTAAATACTTTGCTAATAATTAGCTGGTGAAGGATCGAATTTGAAGCAATTTAAAGTAAGACTGGGAATTTTTCAGTCAAAAAACTGGTATGGCTAAATGAGAAGCTTTCATTCAATAGCCTGAATCCTTACATCACAATTTAACTTAACATTTTAGACTGAAATATATACTAACAAGTACTTTGTAAGCTTGTAACTTGTAGTCTTCACAAAAAATAGAGCCAAGTAAGCTGGGTAATTCAGGCTTGAGCAATATGATCAGGCCTTTAACTTTACGTATCTACAAGGTTAATTCAACTGCATGATGGTTTCACACTTTCAAAAAGGCAATGAAAACTGCACTCTCTTATCTTACCTACTTAATTGCCACAGACTACATCATCTATCATACATCTCTACTGAAATAGAAAATAAACCTTAATGATAACAAAATTCTCGAAGACTCAGAGAAAACTTTGCTATGAGCTAAGCAACTTGAACTGATCACTATTAATTATAATAATACCTTTTAATAAATTATCATTATTAAAGAATCATTACTACTGTGATTTTATTAATTCTAGCAGCTGTTTCCACTAAATTTTTTTTCAAATTTTCCATGGAAAGTCTCAATTGGAAAAATAAATAAACTGCCTTATAACTTTGTTACAGTAGTATACAAGTCAATGCTTAACTTTAGTCATATTCTGTGATGGACTTAGGAACTATAGTCTCGCATGATGGCAGGTCTCCATTTCTCTGTCCTACCCTCAAAGAAAATGCCTCCCTGTTAGTTTCAAGCTATTCTTTTCCCAAACCAAAAGACAATCACTAATTGCCTTAGGTGTAACTAGCTCATTATAGGTCAGCTGACTATAACTTGAAATCAAATAACTTTTCTCCATGTGCAATCTAACAATTATTCTTTCAAAGTCAGTCCTAATAAGTAATCTTGGGATGCACTGACTCTCAAATGTTTGGTTCCACCACCTCCTCAACCCTTTGGCTAATCAGATGCAAATAAACCCAAACTTAATCCAACATTTCAAAACTTCTGGTATTACCAGGATCTTTGTTCTGATCAGCTGTTGCAATTATATTGTTTTCAATTGGCTTCTGTGATACTTGAGCAATTGCATTTTCTTCTAAAAGAAGCAGCATATTGTAATCTTCCAAGTTACCATGTACAGACTAATAACAAGTTCAGATTTAAAAGAAAAAAAATCAATCTACTAGCTATTACACTGGGGCCTTTATCATCGACCTTTCTTTCCCTTAAAATTGTTGTCTGGTGAGAAAAGAGCCTCATGGAAAGTAAAAAACATGAACACAAGGGGCAAGGAAAGAGAAAAACAAGTGTCTGCAAACTTCTAAGCCACACAATTCACCATCTCTCCAGTAATGAATGACTTTTGAATGAATACTGAACATGAACAAATCATCATATTAGTGTGCAATCTAAAAAAATGACCCATAGAAGTCCACAGACAATATTTTCTTTTGATCTCTCCCTCTTTGCCAACAACAGAGGCTCTGGAAAGGTTAGTTACACTTTGTTTTATATAACAATTTGGAAAGACTTTGAACTAAGCCTTACACTTCTATCTATTGTCTTTGAGAGAAAACTCTGGTGGAGGACCAATTTCTTGTTGTTTCAATTCCATTTGAGGTCAGAGTGACTGCTGAGATGTTTCTATCCTCTCGTGAACCATACCAACAGAAGTAGAGTAAAAAACTGTAGCCATGTGACAGCAAGAGATGACGATGAATTACCCTGAGCTAACACATCACCAGACTTGCGAGTTGATGTAGGGTCAAAACCCCCACCTAGGACTTCATTGCCAGAGCTTTTGATTGACGAAGGTGTTGTAATGAAATCAAAGTCATTTTCTGTAAAAAATAAAAACAACCCAAAGGTTTCAATGTATATTGGGATCACAAGAACCGAATGTTGCCTACTTTTAAACTAAGGAACAAAAATTATTCCCTGTCAGTTTCTAAATTCTTAGGGATGACATCCAACTTAAAGACAAAACAAACTCCTCCAAGAATCTTTTTAAAAGGATCTCTCCCAGACCTGTGCCTAAAACTGTCTTTGAGACTGGAATGATCAGTTTCATGAACTAAGTATTGACATGTTCTCATGTGTTTGGAGCTTAAACATAACCAAATGAGTGGACCTTTTGAAATATTGTTGCATTGGTAAGAAAACATAAAGGTGAATAGAAATCTTCATACCCCTTTCAAAATCACCGATGTTATTGTTTTCTCCGCTTGATGTGCTACCACAGTCCTCATCATCTTCACCACAGCCACTTTCACTGATTTTGTTTCCTAATTATGAAGCATAAATAAACATAAATAAACAAAATTTGCGCTAATTAGAGTGGCACCAGCATAATTAGAGTACATCCTGACATCCTTTTTGAGTCTTTGATACTGTAAAAGTTTCATTCCTTTGCAATGCAGTACCAACAATTAAACAAGCAACCAGTTAGCTGCCAGATTTCATTCACATCTAATTTTTGAAATTTCAGACAAGCAGCACTGCAAGCTGTAACCATTTCGGTCACCATAGCAACTGAATTTGAAGCATAAGGGGCACATTTGGCAACTTGTATTTGGCAGTCATGTAGGGAGATGAAATATTTAAAATTTAATTATAAGTTCTTTTTTATCTGAAGTCCTCATCATCATCATCATCATAGTACTCATGCTACCTTCTTTTCTTCTATAAAATTGTGTTTCTTTCTTGTTCAGATCTCACCTGAATGCTAACCATACTTCTTTCTTCAAAGAAAAGCAATATGCTCTGCACTTTATTACATTACCATAGTTATTCGGTTATAAGGCGCACTCGGCTATAGGACGCACCCCCAATTCGGCAACTTCATTATTGCATGTTTTCAAACTGAAAATATTGCTAAAATACTTGGTTATAAGGCGCACCGTTGGGGATTAAAGATTGGTCAAGTTTATTGTAAATTCTTTCATAAACTTACAAAAAAGCGAAAAAGTTGCATATTGATTTTAATTTACCGTTAATTAACAAAAGCAGAATTGTCGCACACGCGACCACGCGCACAAACAAAAAAATTACTGAGCACATGCTCTCGAGCACGTATCATATCTATGCAAATTTGACTTCGCTCGTCTTTTCAGAACCACCATATTTATAAAAGTCAATGACCAACACTGTGTCCTTTTATTTGCTTGAAATCGTACCAGTAACTGTGATAAAAAAAATTGTTTCGGAAAAATATTCACCTATAAGACGCACCCAAACTTTGGCAGTAATTTTTAGTAGAAATTAGGAATTTCTTGAAAAAAACGGTGCACCCTATAACCGAGTAACTATGGTATTTAATATTTTACAATTTTTTTTTCCATTGGAATCAATTATAATTCCAAGTTGCCCTTTCAACCCTAATAAATATAAAAGCTGATTACCATTTTTGTCACCACTCCCACTCCCACTACCACTTCCATCAAGTTCATCATCATCATCATCTCTTGTGATAGTATACTTTTCCATCATTTTAATCTGGCCATGAATCTTCCTCTCAAGAAACGTCAAGTGGTTTTTACTCTCTAGTGACAAAGATGAATCACCTTGCTTTGGCTCATACCTGTAGAAAATGATATTAACAGAGAATATAATTTGTGAAGGGAAAAAACCTAAATGTATTCAATTAACAACCAATTGTATGTGTTTTTGTTGAGGAAATGGTCTATGAACCTATACAGACCAATCATACTGGCAAAAAAAGGTTTTGAAAATTTTAAATGAGGGCAATTTTGAGGGATGAAATAAATTTAAAGATGTAAAGAGAAGGACAAATTAAAATTGCAGTGAAAATTTAATACAAAATCGAAAAATCTTGATTACAATGGAAAGCTATCTGATCAAAATTCCAAACAAATAAGGTGAGATTTTAACTAGGCTCTTAAAATGTTTAAACTCTTTATGTCGAGTGGTATTGCATGCCCAACTCCTGGTGCAGCACAGGAAAACAAAGAGTCACGAATAGTAGGTTCCAAATTGAATTACCAATTACTTGTCTTTACCTTGCTACAAATGTTCCATTCCAACAGTTGTCAATGTTTTCCTTTTGTGAAGCAAGACCATCAACTACACAAAACTCTCGAGCTAAATCGTGGAAGAATGAGTTGAGAGCATTCAGCTGCCTATGAACAGCATCCATTTTAGCAAAGAGTCGCTCTTTGACATGAGGAGTCGGTGAAACAGATTCTTTATAAGGAGAAGTCTTTGCATCACTGTAGGAAGGTTCGCCACACTCCTTCAAAACCTGTTAACAATATTGATATGAGTAACTGTTTTTAAGAACATGAACCAAAACAATAATTTTAGCAAAACCATTTTAACAAGTTTACTGACCATCAGTCTCAGAAAACCATTAATACCTTGAAAATATAGCTGCAATTCTTACTGTGTTATTACCAACCACATAGGAGATCAGTAAATAAAACATTAAGTCTATGCTTGAGATAAGTGGCTTATCCTAGTTTCCATAGCATAAAGCAACAAAGAGTATAAATACTCCCCCCTGGATGGGATGCCAATCAATCACAAGGTTATTCCCCCTCCAATTTCATCAGGCTTCCCTGACAATTTGTGGGTAACCATTTATACTCCTAGGTAGAGAGAGGCACTGTAAATAAAGTAAAATGTTTTGCATGAGGAAATGAAAGCAAACCACAAAATCACGCAAATCAAAATTAGTGTTATTTCCTACTGTTAACATTCTCTCACCTGGCTAACTTATTTTCCCAAACATATCTTCCAAAGCAGAACCAACCAGGAGAATTCCTATTCCCTTGATAAGATGCTAGTCCAATACAAGGTTACCAATCCCCTTCCCCCCCTCCCCCCCAGTAATTAGTCAGGTTTCCCTCTACACTCCTGGGTGGAGAGAGGCTCTGTGAGAGTAAAGTATCTTGCCCAGGAACACAACACAGTGACCCAACTAGGGCTCGTGTCCAGACCCCTTCACCTGGAGTCCAGCACACTAACCATTGGGTGACTACATTTTCTAGGTCCTGGATATTAGATTCTTTAATTATGTAACCTTACCTGCGGCATTAAATTAGCCTTCTGTAGTAACATAAAGGTGGCAGCATGCCATAAGTCTGTATGAACAGAGTTTAAAAAGTTCTCCAAATTTGAGTTTCCAACACTTTTAGCCAGTGAGAGAACAGTGTCTATTAACTGGCCCCACTTTCTTTGAAGTTGAGCTTCAGAGAGCAGACATTTTCTTGTTGTATTCATACAAAATTCATAACATGGCTTCACTTGGGTAAGACCCTGGCATAATGAACAAAATTTCATCTCCAAAAGACCATTTTTGCATCCATCTGTGAAGTTGAACTGTTGTGCCAAGCTTAATACCTCTACTCCAAATTTCAGGCCTTTGAAGAGGCTTCCCACTGGCTCAAAAACCTCCTCAAACTTACCAAGTAACTCTGCTGGGCGAGTACCGAATGGTTTAATTATATCCATGTTATCTTTTAAACAACTTTTATACTTTGCTGAGAGAGTCTTTCCTTCTGGATTGAAATATCTTAACAGCATTGGAAAAGAACTGCGAAAGAATGCATTCACAATGTCTTCTAGTTCTTGTTTATCCTCAGCCAAATAGTTTTCAAGGTCTTTGAATAACTTAGATACTGCAATGACTTCATCTGCAGTAAGATTTGGTTGTTTACCCAGTAAAAAGGTAATACTCTGTCTGTTACTTTCTTCCATGAGACTATGAAAATGCCCTAGAAATAAAACAAAATGTAATTTCAAATAAATGAAGTGGAAAAATAGAATATATTTGTTGAATTTTTTTGTATAATAAAAATATTTGGTAAAACAAAAATTCAAACTCAACTTTAAATTAAAACAAAATTGAAAAAAAAACAATGATAAACAGTAACATCCTGATGAAAATTGGGTCAAACTTTCACAACAATTTAATGCCCTATTCCACTATTTAAAAAAAAATCTCTGGGGTTAGAATTTTATCAATGCATTATCTTACATTCAGAGGGTCAAGGCAAATTTGCACTCTATTGTTTAATTCATACCAATCCGCAAAGGGCAAATTAACATTATGAACTTCTAACTGAAGAGGTTGTTTGCAGAATACTCTATGAATAAAATTAAGGTAGCTCGAGTGATACATCAGTAACTAAAGAAAAGTTTCCAAACTTTAAACAGTATGACTTCTGTTTTAATATTGAAGAAAATCAAAATACTGCAACCAGTTGGTTTTTAAGTCAATAGCACTTCAGATGCAAAACAAAAAGCCAGCACCTACTTGTGGTAAACAATCAGTAATATCAGCAGACAATAAGGTTCTTGGCTTTGCATTATTTACATAAAAGAAATTGGTTTAATACGTTCCAGATCTTTTGTCACTTGTACCAAAATTTGCATATTTACTTTTCTTAAACATAGAGAACGAAAAGGAAAGGCGCCGTAAGATTCATTTCAGATCCAAAAAAAAAAAAAAAAAAACAAATGGTTTGGTTCAGATGTGTTTCACTTTATAGCGACTCTGTATGGTGCATCGTGTCTCCCTATTTCAAAAAAGCTCCCGCTGGGTCAGAGAGGGCTTCAAATTTCTGACGATTTATATCCGTTCATTAATTTAGAACGTCAAACATATGAGATCGGAATTGTCTTGCCCGCAGGCGGCTCTGATGCGACTACGAAGATAAAGACAACCTTCTAAGCGCAGGAGAATTTTTAAAATGCTTTAGAAACACGCGATCACGAACACAGATGAACAAAGTTTAGGTCATGCTAGTTTTGTTATTGTTTTCGAGTCTTCTCAGGCTCTACTGTCATAATTTGCATAACCCAACTTCTATGCTAGATTTCATCGCTAGATTAAGTAACAAGAGCATGATTTATTCTTCGATAGCTGAATTGTTCATGATAAATGTGTGCGCTGGGAGGTCTTCTGGAAAATGACAATTTTTCTACCATTCTCGTGGAATATATCATAATTAAGATTTCAACACAAATATCAACAACAAAGGAGTTATTGCATTGATATTTTATATTAAAGGCCAGAAACACGCTTTAGCCTGGCAAAATCCAATTCCTTCGCAATCGAAATATCCAGACTATAAGTCCGTTTTCTGTGTTTAAATCACATTCAGAGTGCAGCGCTTAGGTTCCTAACTATTCAAAATCCATCATGCGTTATGCGTTTGTTGAATTGTTTTAAGAAACATCGAGGAATAGAAAATTAAATCATGAGGTGTCAGAAAATTGTACTCAATATTAAATATTAAATTAAGGAAGAGTAGACTGATAAAAAAAGTTCTAAGTTTACGATTTTAAGCATATTAACGCACTTGAGACAGGAAAAAGAAAAAGAAACAATTCCGAGCATGTTTGAGCCATAAGCTAAAATGCTCAAGTACCTCATTATTACAATACCCCTATAGGAAATCGGCGTGAAGAGCAATTGATTAGGCATAGCATTGTTTAGAATACCTCGAGAGAGCCCGAGTTTTTTGTTAGAGTATGATCTGCTCTTTCTTTCTACTTTTGGCTACAATAACTAACCGAACCGCAAATCCCAAGGCAGTTGCGAGCACTCAAGTAGCCTGAAGAATTTGTTTATACAAAGCAAATGATAGAGTGCTTTTCATCAACTTACAAAATAGTTCAACGAACTGTGGATCGATGGCTTACCTTTCAAATCGTCAAAAAGCGATAACATGGCTTTCTTTGCAGCCATATATTTAGTTTGCAATTGAGTCTTGATATTCTTCGCAGCTTTAATGCGAAGAGATGCTTCCGTTTGTCTTGTACAGCACGTTTTTTTCGTGTGACTAACACAAACTTGCGGCTCCTTCCCTGTCAAAGATAAATTGTGTCAGAGTAAGTTCGATAAACACTCGACCACTCGTGAAATATTGGAGTCTTCCACTTCTAACCTTTGTCAGGAACTTGCGGATTCCATTGGGCGTTCGCTCCAAGCTGTTCTACTGAACAAGACAATTGCTGAGTGTCGCATTCGGCATGCCAAGCTTTCAAAATAAAACTCAATAAACAAACCACGTGAATCTTGTGAAAAGAACCCATTTTGCGCCGCTTGTTAGGATATTGAATTGTTTCAAAGAGCCTAACTTTCACGTATGTCAGCTACGTGAGGAACTAAGATACACAAAATAATAGCGACTTCACTTTAAAATGCGTTTTCATGTCTTAGAAGGTCATTCGTCTGCGCAACAGAGAAGATATAGTTTACAAGGTATTGAGTGTAATGGGTGTATCCGCAGAACCCTTTCCATATTCGTTCAACGGTAATTAATCGAAACAATGCAAACAGTCAATCATGACTAAGCGATGAGCGAAACAGCTGCGCGGCGCCTTTGACTAATAACAGAGAATAGAGAAGAAATATTTTATTGGGCGAACGGGGGTGGAATGTGGTGCGGCACAGGGAGGGAGTGATCGTAAATTCCGGTTTAAGGTTTCCCGACTTAGCATTCAGTAATCTTAACAACTTACTCTTTTCAGCTCTTTTAGCTAGAGAGGTTTACTCTAAATCCTTGCTTAATAACTTCTTTGTGAATTTAATTTAGTTATGACGAGTTTTTAAGATGAACAACAACAACTGAAACTTGAATTATCCATAATGTACCATCCATGTTTGCATTGGCTGAAAAATTATTTATCTTCCCTTACAGACATTTAGGAACCCGAAGCAAACTATGGAATATGACACTTTTCGTTGTTCTTCCCAAATAGATGAAGGACATAGGAGTTCATGCTTAAAAGCGAGAAGCACGACCTCTCCATTAATCATATTCCCAATCTCAAAGAAAACGTAAATCATCCAGTTGTGATAACATCAAATCTTTTCCCTTGGAAGATAAATAGTGAGGTCTGTTTCGGATAAACCTTATCATTAGTTGTTCGACATACAGGCTGGCACGTGCCGACAGGAGAACGAGCTAGAATTTCCATTTCTGCCTTTCTAAAAATACGATGAGAAAGTTTCTTAGCTCACGAAATCATTTACTTCAATATTTGGCTCAAATCAAAACCAGACATCGCCATTTACGAAAACAGATTTGTTGTCATCTACAAGCGGAAAGCAGTAGTATATAATTCAACTCCGATTCATAAAGATTTGAAATTTGCTGAGTTTGTGGAAACAGTCTAACTACAAAGTCAGTTAGGGAATTTTATAAGTCAATTAATGGTTGCGTAACCATAGCTGAAATGTAGAAAAGATTTACTTCCGGTCACTGAAGCAGATTTTCTCAGATGTGTTGTTTCAGTGTTCTCTCTCGTTTGATTATTTGTGGAGGGTTGAATTAAAATCGCACTTAATATAAACTTAAGAGTCAGCTGATAAGTGAGGCACTTATTACATTTTGAGTGGAGGAGGAGCTTATAATATCGCGACTGATTTCAAGGAATTCGTTACGTCGAAATCTTTGCGGGAAAACAAGACACATTCCTTTTTGAAGAAGGTATCACTAAAACGGAAACAAAGTTGTAAATACACACATATCAAGCTGAAAAACAAGATCTGCTTCTTACAAATATCATATAATAAGATCTGAATTTTCTCAATCCACTTTGACGTAGAATCTTAGATTTACTGAATTTTAATTAAAACGCTTTGATTGCAATCTTATTGAGGTTAAACGGATTTAAAATCACTCAAAAGAGTAAAATTTTCTATAGTGTCGTAATTCCTGACGCCCACTTTTCCTGTCAGCCCGTAGAAAACTCATTCAAACAACGGCGCAAACAATCAAATGGCAGAAAAGGAGCAGTCCAGTGAAATTCCAGTACAAAACCCAAACAACATTACCGCCGTCTCGTCTGATGTTTCAAGAAGACTTCCTTTTCTTGGGAGGACTTTTCTCTTCCTTTGTTTCGTCACTTGACTCTTTCGACTTTCGTTTGGAGTTTTCAGCCCTGTTTTCCTTCGTCTCCGCGAGTTTTTCTTCCATGTTGCAATCAGTTTCCTCTTTAGTTCCTGGCGGAGTGTTCACATCGTCTTTGCTTTCAGTTTCCAGAAACTTCTCTTTTTCCGTCTTTTCCGATTCCCCTGTGGTCTTCTTGATCGTTTCAGTCTTCGTATCTTTGCAATGTTTTCCTCCGCAGTTTGATTCTTCCGTCTCTTGGAACTTCTCCACCTCTTTCTCCGGCTGCACGGGAGTTGTGGATGACGTGTCAACTTCTGTTGATGGCATCTTTCACTATAACAGTAGGGGTATTTCTTGTCCCAGTGTTGAAACGGAAAACACGGGAAATGAGGAATAGAGTGTCAAAATTTCTTAGAATATACAGCAAACGAATAACAAAATGTTGAAGCTCTTTCAGCTTTAGGAAGGAATGGCGCACGCCACTTTTCCCGCCACTAACACCATTTTCATTTTCCCGCCAGTTGACGCTTGCGCGTTTCTCAATTTAGAATAGAAACAGCCACAAAAAAAGAAAGGAAAATAAAATGAACCACGCAGATTGTAAATTTCTAGGCTCAATAATCTCCTATAAATTAAATTATATTGGAAAAAAAATCTTAAGAATAGTGAATAAATAAAGGGCCACAATCTTCTCTTCACTACGCCGTCATGAGAGGAGAATTTGGACTTGGATCTGTGCTGATCTAAGCCAATGGTTCGTTTTCGCGCCAAAATAAATTTCGAAAATATTAGCATACATTTAATTGAAATCCAAGATGGCGGCCGGCGAAGAGAACGACGGAGCTGCCTTGAACAAAGTCGTTATCCCTAAGAAGCAAGAAAAACGAAAATCATGTGAAGAAAATGTCATCTCCAATTCTTCCTCAGACTTCACGTGCCCCATATGTTTGCAAATACTTATCGAACCTGTAGTAATGCCTTGCGAACACGAGCTGTGTTGGCCGTGCTTCAAGCAAAATGTAGAGGAGGCGAATTTCCTTTGCCCTCTCTGTCGAATGAGGATTTCAAGTTGGGCGAGAAGAAATTCGCGAAATGGGACACTGGTTAATGTAGCACGATGGCAACAAATTCAGCAGCTCTTCCCAGAGAAATGTCGCAAAAGATTACGTGGTGAAGATGATGACGATATCTTTGGTTAGAAAACCTTGTTGTTTGAGTTTTATTACGCTAATGCTTTCGTCGACAACATTAACAAAACTTTGAAATTCAACACTATCGAGGTCCCAGTATAACAGTTAAGGCACAAAAAAAAAAGATAAAATTTACGTATAAGGGTTTATTTTTGTCCACTAATTAGCTCGCGCAACATTAGTAGAATGCAGCACAAAGATTATTATGATGGGAGAGATTATTCGTTGAACCCATTAATAAATCTTGAGACTATGCTTTTTTCTCAAAATCTGTTCAATACTCACTGGTATTAAGTGATTCAGGTATTCTATAATCCGTTTTCCGGAGAGAAAGAAAAATGGAGGGGTGGGAGGGGTTTTGGGAAAGATTGCAATCTGTTCACAAGGGGTACAACTTGATTCTGCAATGGTGTTGACCACTCATAGCCTGCATTTTTTTTTTCTGTCATAAATTGTATTTTTTTTTTCAATTTCACTGGTACAGATATGCCACCAGTGAAACGCACCTTATCCAAGGATGGGGAACTACGTAAAGAGTATGAGGAGGAAATGAGGAAGGCAAGTTACAACAGTTAACTCATTGCATGTACCTAAGCCAGCATGCATTGGTGTTCCTCTATGAATATTGGTTGAGAAATGTAGGGATCACTATTCTTCAACACAAAAATGGCTTTCGACTCAAGTCACACTTGTAGAAACAGACTACTTGCCCTGTAAAGATGACCTTGAGACAATAATGCAAAAATTTTTTTTTCCTTGAAAGAATATTTCTTTTAGACTAAAGAGGGTTAGTTTCTAAAGAACCTGTAGTGCTGCATCAGTAGGGGGGGGGGAGTATAACATGATAGCTTGGTTTTATCAATGAAGTTGATAACGTGAATTGTGGCTACTGCAGAGAGATTCTAATGCTGACATAGGGAGCACTGTCAAGCACTCTGTGGGAGCTAATCAGATTTGCTCTGATGAAGGGCTAATCCTTGACACAGCTTTAAAATCTCTCTAATGTACCAATCCACAAATTATTTTATCCCTGACTAAGCCTAAAGTTAGGTTAAAGGATGGAACAATGTGTTCTGGCATTATTAATATCTTTTAAATTCTTAACACAAGTCAATGCTACTAGAAAAAAAATTTCTTCTTGTAACAAATCTGAATCTCTATTTTATTAACCAGTTGGTGAACAAATTTACATAGACATAATGTCTAACCCCAGTTGAAATTTAATTGAAGGGGTGCCAATTTAAGGCAGATGTTGCCTAATGACTGACAGTTGTCTGGAGCTCTAATGTAATGACCTTTCTATCACAAACAGTCATTTATGCCTCAGACAAAGTGAATGTCCAATCCCTATCTGATGTCATTTTCAAATATCTGTCTTAGTTGAAAGTAGCAAGAGAGGAGGAAATGAAGGCAAGTGAAGAGGTTATCTACAAATTACAACAAGAGGAACAGAGATTAATGAGGTCTCTAGAATACCAGAGACTACAAGATGAAGAACTTGCAAGAAAAATGATAAAGGAGGAACAAGGACAGGTGAGTAGTATACAGTAGCTTGAGCATAGTGGATCATTGAGAAGTTTCTTTTCTGTTGAAGTTTAGCTTGAAGCTAATCACTGGAATCTTTGTGTTATTGCTCTTTGGATTTCTACAGAACTCAATGGGACAGCTGCCTAAAAATAAAAGCTTATCAACAACCCCATACAAGAATAAAATTGTGAAAGGAAAAAAGATAAAAGGACAGAGTACTCAAGCTGGTCACAGTAACAGTACACTAGACAGGTGGTTCCTTCCTACAAGGCATACCTCTCCTGGTGATGTTCAAGGTATTCCATTCAAATATTATTTACATTCTTGGAAAGTTACCAGTACTATGCCTAATGAAGGCCTGGTTCTATTTAAGACAATACAACATATTGAAAGCAGGTTTTCTTCTCAGGCAAGTTGAAAGTCATGATTTCCTTACTTGCATAAATACCATAGATCCAGGTATTTATCTCTTTCAGTTTTAAAAGTAGAAATCACAACATGCTGCTGGCAATCAAAGTTTGAGGACAGGTTATGTAGTTGGAATTGAACATTATTCACTTCAAGAGCTTAAAGTTTTACTCCAAGCCACGAAATAAAAGTGTGGTAATTCTACAGACAAGAATTCCTCTATGTATAATCTTAATTATTATATTTACTTTGTCAACAGGATTATCAAAGAATAAAAGCAGTCATGGTAAATCCAATTTCAGAAAAAATTCCTCTGAAGACAAAGAGGATTCCATCTTTTCATCAAGTTCTACATTTAGTGATATTTTTAACATGAGCAATCTACAATTCCTTGAAGAAAGAAGAAAACAAGAAGAACAAGACCTTCAGTTTGCAATAAAGTTACAAAAAGAATTTGATCTGGCAAGTACAAAGGCTTCAGAGGTGGACAGAAAGAAAGGAACTGTTAATGCATATTTACTACGGACTGTCAGTGAAAACGAAGAAGTGGAAAGTGGCACTGATAATATACCTTCATAAAATAAACGGTGACATTCCTGTTTTTATTTGTTTTGACATATTTTATAAAACTTAAAAGTTAAACTGTGAAAATTTCTTGGCTCAAAATTGTAGCAGGTTTTGTTTGCAGAAAATTTTGTTTTGACTATGCCCTCTAATGTGCCTACTTGTAACTGTGTTTGTTTTGGTGAAAGTCTGTGATTAAAGTGTCCTAAAGGGCATAAGAAGGAAAAAAATTATTTCAAAATTACTAATAATAGTAAAAAAAATTACTGGTAAACTAAATTAAAGTAGATATCAAGTGGTGTTATAGGATGAAGGAGAGATATAAATAAAATAATTTGTGGTTTATTTGATGCACTTGGTTGTAGTAATAATAACAATAATGATGATAATGATAATAATAATAATAATGTCAAAAATATTACGAGCTATTATTCTTATGATCTACAACGGGGTGAGCTGGAAATCCTTTCTTTTGGGAAGTGAAGGAGGAAGCTGTTACATTTCCAGCAAAAGTTTACTTTTTTGAGTTCCCTTTATACAAATTAATGACTAAATGTCATCAAGGTTTTAATTTTGCTCCATTACACAGCTTGAGCATGTATTCTGTTGGTGTAGTAAACTGAAGTCAGCTTCCTTTATTAAATTTCATTTGAGTTTCTGATGTATTCTGCTGTTTCTGCACATATGATTCTTGTGTAGAGGTACAGTTAGCCTAACTGGGTCTTCTAGGGAGGCACATGGTTGCAACACTCATGAAAATTCTTGCTCATCAGAGTCTGGGTATGAGTCTACAAATGCAGCTAACATCTGGGCAGTTTCATCATTTTCATTCTCCTGAAAATTGATTCATTCAGAAAAAACTCATTTGAAATGAACAGATGAATGGTTTAGTAAATGCAAAAAAAGTGGCATGGTGCAAAGGTAAGAACACTCCCCTCCCACTGCTGTGGCTTGAGTTTGATTCCCACACCTGGGGTCACATGTGGATTGAGTTTGTTGTTGGTTCCTCTCCTTGTTATGTGGGTTTTTCCCCAGGTCCTTGGGGTTTCATCCCTCTGCAAAAACCTACATCCCAACTTCCAATTTGCCTCAGAAACAGTGGACAGGAAGAGCCACCTTGTGGAATGCAGCCTGCTTAATTATTATTATTATTATTATTATTATTATTATTATTATTATTATTATTGTTATTACTATTGTGTTGATTACTAGCTTACCTCATTTAAGGAGGTATTATCACTATTTGCAACACTTTCTGTGAGTTGATCTTTATTTGCTGTGGGCAATGTACTGTTGTTGTTAATTAAAATTCTCTCCTTTGAACTGCAATTATCAGTATCAGTTTTCCTTCTCTTGGGCTCAAATATTCTAGCATACTGTGGAGAAGGTCCAAAGTCTTCATCAGGCAATGTTTCTGATAAGACAGTTTGACTTGACTCATTGTTCTGAGGTTGGGTTGAGATCTGGCTGGCTGTGTTTCCTACATCAGCAAGTGATTTATCTATTCCACTGTTACCTTGGCTTTCCCTATCACTCTTACTAGTAAAAGACTTATCAGATTGATTAAAAGATGTTTCATTCTGTATAGACTCTTGTACTGTTTGATTCCCGACATCTATAACAAAACTGTTGTCCATACTTCCCCCTTCTCTAGCTCCAAATTCCCCTTGCTCCATAGGGATTTGGTTTGTCTGTAAATAATCAGCATGATTTCCATTATTGCTTTCAGATTCCCCGCTCAGACTTTGCCAGTTTGTATTCATAACATGCTCAAATGTAATTGAAGAGGCCATTTCTGTTGTATTTGCATGCTCCTCAGAGGTGTTAAGCTGTAAAGGCCCTGGTGCAGAACACACTTGTGGGAATATCCGTGGGTGAATGATGGTATTAACTACAGCTAAGGCCTCTTGGCAGAAACTTGATACCTAGGAAAGAGTGTTACTGCTAATTATTTTAAGAAATATTGGAAGATATAGCCTGTTTTTTTCTGTGATGTCATTGTCCAGAGTGAAATCAATCTAAGAGCCACTGGTGAATAACCAATATGAACACAAGTGCTTGTCTTGTATGTGCTGACAGGCTACTCAAAACAGCTGAGCACTTATAAAGGGGGTAAGTTTCTAAAGAAACAGTGGTGCTGCATTGGTGGAAGAGTATAACAAGGTAATATAGTATTATCAACTGAGTTTATAACATAAATTGGCCTCTGTTAAGAGTTTCAAAGCTACCATTTTGAGTGTTAGCCCTTTGCTAAGGGGAGAATCAACAATTAGATCTCTAAGATTTAATTACTATTGCTTTCAAGCTGTGAGAGATAATTCACAAGCCTCAAAATTCTTATTTCCAGCTGTAGTAAAATAAATGTTTACTGAATCAAAACTGACCAACCTTAAAATCACTATCCTGCAGTCCTAAACTAAACAATCTTGCAGCATGATGCACAGGTGGTGGAACACAAGGAGAGTTAGTGAGCAGACAATTAAGTAGAGCACGATACAATGCCTGTCGACAATATGCACTTGTGTAAGGTATGGGGAAACCATTGAATGAAGACTGCTGACATTGAATGATCAGTTTGACAATGACAACTTGCACTTCCTAAAGAAAAATTGAAATGAGGATAAGAACATTGAATCATTTGTTCATCTCTAGAAGCAAAAAGCAACATATTTACTGTTACTGACCCTTAATGCATCACGAGGAATGTCACTTTCAACTGCAATCAATACTGCACATAAGGCTGAAGATGATAAAATCAATGTTAAACTTCAGGGCCATAAATTAGAGTAGTTTACTGATAATTGGCTCCCCTAAATGTGTTGATGTAAAACACAGTTTAGTCAAACCACAGTTAACCTTTTAACAACCAGAAGTGATTAAAATGTAACTTCTCACTAAAATATCCATACTTTATCCAGCATAAAGGTAATGAGAATATTCCAACTTATTGGGTAGACAATGTAATCTTGATCTAACACCAAATTCTCGTAACTAATTTAATAGGAAATGTGTAGCAGATAGCTGTGAAGAATTAACAATAAAACCTTGGGAGTTGAAGAGTTAAAAATTTTGTTATTGAGATGAGATGAACTAATTAAATTTTATTTCACCTTTGAGTGCTCTGCATGTAACACTCTCATTTGCATTTTCATCAATCTTTTGTTGACCTGTGAACCCATGAATGAAAGCAGTTAACATTTTGCAACAGTAAACATGTTGAAATAAAGCAGAAAATGTTTTTTAATGCTGCTTAATTATGGAATAGAGATTCAACCTGTTCTTCTTATGTGAAGAAATTGAGACTTCTAAATTATCATGCATAAATCCCCCAACAGCTTTAACATAAATTAAGCATTGTTGTTAGCAATTGCTAGTTACTTTCCTTGCATGAATTTCTATTGAACCCTTTTTGTATCGGAATTTGTTGTTGTTGTTGTTGCTGTTTTTTTGAAGTTTAAATTTCAACAACTAAATGGGAGAATACAATCTTTGAGTGTAATTATACACCATTGAACCATAGAAAAATAAAGAGTTTTTTGCTGCTGCTGTGGAAAATAGTAATCAAAATTAGTAATAAAAAAAGGTAATAAAAAGAGGAAGTCATGAGGTTGTTATTTAGTTTGACTTTGTTTTCTGTAAAAATGTTTTCAGGCCTCACTGGAAATGGTGACACGTAATTTTTAATAACATTCCCACAGTCAGCAATTAGAACATGAAGGAAAACCACACACAAAGAATCTAATTGTCAGTAGCACTTTATAACAAAGACCTGTAAGTAACTGCTCAACATCCTCTTGCATTTTCCTCTTCTTCCCCTACCAAAAAAAAAATGCACACCAGTACAAAAAAGATTATAAAGAAGAACTTTTAAATTTTCATTTTCTATTCTGTATTTGTACTGGTAACAGTACCTTTCTTGACTGCTGTTTATTTCCACAGCTAGGATTTGGTATCAACTACAGATCAAAAGAGGAAAAGAATTGAAGGAACTTGTAAGGCACAATCTCACTCAGGAAGAACAATAAATACTGGTAATAGGACTGAGTGGAGTCTAATTCTGTCTGCAATCATACCAGTGATAAAAATCTGACAACAGTGATGCAGGAATATGGTTACAAACAGAATTGGTTGAAACAAAGTCCTGTTACCAGTTACTCAAAAATAATGACAACATTTGAGAAAGAAACTAGATATAGGTTATATGTTTTCATAAACAAAAACAACAGATAACTTGGCAAAATACACTGCGACAGCACATGCACATGACATGTGCTGTCCACCTGTCCATGTCATGTCAACTGTCCTATTACTCTGTCCAATTACAAGCATGACACATCCACTGTCCTGTCAGTGCTCAAATAGGGCTGGTGATAAGCAATCATTTTTGAGAATTTTGCTTTAAGTTTTGATTAATGTTCTAATCCCTAAATTTTTGAATGACTCATTTTTTATTTTGGACGTTTTCTTGCATCCCAGGGCTGTCAATTAGGGCTGTAACCTGTAACACCCGTTACATCTGAGCTCACTCACTATTATGGGTGAAGAAGTGAATCACAATATCCCAAATGTAATGACTGCTTTAAAACTGAATGACAGCCCAGGGAATCTACTCTTTCATTCACAGGTAGATTGCAAATACTATTAGTCAGTTGATTATCTATACACATGACAGGTGATGTCACCCAAAAATGATTGACTCAAGAATAGACTACTTTGAGAACTGATAAATATTTTAAGAAGACAGGCTGACTTCTTGAAAAACCCAACTGTCAAGTTTTCAAGTCATAAATAGTTTTTGTATCTTAATAGCACAATTGCTCCGTACTTGTGTAAGTTAATTGCAATGCCATTTGTAAGCCTTGTCAAGTGTTTCATAATTTTACCTTTGTTTGAGAAGTTAATGGCCTAATGTCATCAAGTATGAGTGACATCAATTTGTTCACCACACTACCCTCCTCAGGCAGGCTATTTGTCAGTTGAACCCAGTGCTCCATGCAGTGATACACAGAACACCTCAATTTCCTGAAAAAAGAGGTAACTATCTTGTAGGAGAAGTAGTTTTTGGTTATTCTGATGAAGGATTTTGTCTCAGCCAAGAGATCCTTCAGAGATCATTCAGAATACATTGGCAAACTCCTTAAGCTGTGCTCTCTAGGTCCCATTCATATTGCAAGATATTCACATTCCTTCTACTGCTGGAGGATACTTATTTTAAGTAGCTGATGACAAATGACATGCAAAAACCTTCACAAAATAATACTAAAATAGGAAATTAAAGGTAATTTTTCCAAGTTCAGGATGAAGATTTCAAATTGTTTTCAAACCTATATGGTTTGTTGAAGCCATAAGCAGGGTCTTGAGTTTTAGTCCATGTAAGCTCTTGCACCAGAAGCTTTATCAACAAGTCACAATATGGAAGCATCACATTTCTACACCTGTTGTGCCATTGGAAAGAAAATATAGTTAAACAGGATTCTAGTATGCAGCTCAGGCCATGTATAACCCTTTCATTTCCAAGCTCTCAAAATCAATTCTCCTTTTTATTTGCAGCTATATATTTAAAATTTTAAGCAGTTTGGTGTGAAATCAAACAATTATCCCATTCCAATTTTTTTCCTTTCTTCTTATTTCCTTTCTCCCAGACAATGTATACATATTAGAAATTACTTCCTGATTAGTTCCAAGAGTGAAAAGGTTTGGTCAAAGTCTGGCCCTATTACTTTAAACACCATCTCAAAGTTTCCTTCTTCTTCTTCTTCTTCTTTTTTTTTAATCAAAGTTGCCTCAAAGGCATAACTTGAAAATGTTTTAAGTAGGTCGCTCATGTCTGGGATACTATCAAGGTACCTTGCCTTTTAAGACTAAAATACTTTACCAAGTAGCCGGGTAACTGAGTTTCATAAAGACAATATAATAACACCACCAAGTAACACTTAGTATCTTCACAAATATATGAAACATAATATTTAACATATTGGTTAAAAAGAAAACATTAAATAATTTACCTTGTGATAAGTGTGGTTAACAAATCTACAGCATTTGTATGAATTAATGGTAAACTTGCTCTCAACAACACTGATTCCACAACAACAGCACTTTTCTGCAAAATAAACATTTAAATCAAGCTTAAAAATATGTATGTCCAATGTTAATACAAAAAAAAGTTCCTTGAACACTGATTGGTCCAAGAGTTATTTTTCTAGAAAAATAAATCTTTCATAAGGTAAATAACCGTTCTCCTATGATATCACTGTTTCATGCAGTTTAATCAATACATAATTTTCACTCTTACCAGTGAGTTGCAGGTCACATTCATTATTCTCACCAAAAGGTTCATTGTAGAATCAATAGGAACTGCCACAACTTTTAGATGTTCTTCCCTTAAAATGACAGATGAAATATTTTCATCACTTTATGAAAATTATATATTTAACATTCCTAGAAAGATTGACAAAAGCAACAGATATGATTAAAATTAAAAGAGAAAAGAAACCATCAGTAAAACCCTTGTGAAGTTCTGTCCATCTCACCATACATGTGTCCCTGGGAAACAAGTTACCTTATCATTCCTGAGAGGAGGTGAAGCAATGAATTCAACCTTGTGATAAGAGTGTGTGTTCGGTCTGGTTCTGTGGCTGGAACATCACCAAGTGGAAGGGATTCATTTTCTGAGTCTTGGGAGGGTTTGTTGGCAACTAGAGTAAATGATGTGAAATTAGTAAATGAACTTTACAATTTACTGTTTCAATAAATAAAAATGAAGAAAAGAATTATCCTGAAAAACATACCTGGCTCAACATTTTCATAGGCGCTATCAAGGAGTTTATGAATTGTACAAAGCACTTTGTTCCATTGTATATTCCAAGGACACAGCTGTTGCTTGTCACCTGACCCACTGCGACTACATCTTGGTAACAAGGCGTAGCAACTGCATGCAGCCTGTGGCAAAAAAAAAGATACACAGTAATTTTTTTGTTTCTCTTAACTTGCACTCGAACAAAAAAGGAGTCTTCTTTACAACTGTTGCTTACTGTTCATCTAGGTGTTATTATTGACTCTAAAAATCTTTAATATTTTGGAATTACAACATATGTTGACGTCAGGAAGAACAATTCCTGTTGCTGCCAGTTCTCCACTTGGATGCTCATTTCAGGCTTCTGAGTGGTAGACATAAAGTCTACCGATAAGTCTTAAGATCTTTTCTTGTTGGTAATTTTGTCCATTTTTTTACTTCATTACAGCATAAATTAAGACCAAGTTTGTTAAGTATGCAGCGCAAGTTGCCTGAATGAAATCAACCAAAATCCTGCCTGCTGTTCAAAATGTTCAATTGACCACAACAACATACCTTCATTGTTTCATTGCAGAATGAATTTAAAGGTGGTAAAAGAAATTTCTCAATTTGATTCTGAAAATAAAGAAATAAAATTATAATAAAGGTGTAGCTGACATAAAGATGTGAGTGACCTTGAGCTAAACCTAGAGTTGCAACCCTTGACAATACTTTCAGCAGACTTGGCCGAAAAAAAAAAAAACTATAAAAACTATGTTGTGATAGTAAGACTTACTATATATAGAAGTGAATTAGTTACGCACGATATAATCTAACTATTGTATTGCATGTGAACTGGCTATGGAAGGCATTACAGTATTGCAAGGATGAGTGCATGAGTTTTCTGGCACTGGTCATTGTCAAAAGTGGGCCCCTTACTGAGTCATAACTTGTCTTTAACTGCTTTGTCAATCATGCTACAGCACTTACGAGAGCCTGATTAAAATTACTTACCCTGGAGGGTCCTGAAGGTCCTGGGAAATAGCGAATACATGAAGATAGCATCAACAACACTGAGCTCTCGTCCTACAAATAATTACAGACATGATCATGGATGAAAACAAAGCAATGTTTGCTCCTGTACGTATTGTTCTTTCCATAAGTTCATTACGTTTAATGTTGCACTTACTGAACATTTGTTGGCCAACAAGGTTGAAATGATGGATGGAAGGACTGAGTTAGACAACTCTCTTGATAATTCTGAAAACTGAACAATAAAACTTTTGTTATAATAAGTGGTGAGTATACTTGAAGCAAATTGCAATTTTTTTTAATAAGTGTACAATGTGATAGTCTTTGGTAGTCTTGCTAAAAAAAATACTGTTTAAAAGCATCCTCTTACCTCTGCTGCATGTTTTAAAATGTTATCAAGGATCTTGCTGCAATACTGAAGGACACTTGATTTTTTTGAAGTCTATAAGCATTGAAAAACTATATCAAAAATTCTGGATAATATTTTGAAAAATTTATGAATGGAGAACCCAAGCCAACAAAACAACCATAGGAAAAAAAAGCCAAACAAAAAGACAAAAAAAAACAAAAAAAACAAAAACATAAACAAAATACAAAAACAAAAGACAGGACAAAGAAAACAACCTGAAAAGCTACCTGAATTATCTGGAGAAGACCTCTTAGCCATGATGAACAATTTGTCCTGAAGGCTTCTGTATCACATTGTTCAACTGTTATTCCAAGTAGACAAACACCTAACCAACTGTAAAATTAATCAATACCAGATCATTCATTCTTTTTGCACACTGAGGTTGAAAACTTTTTGGGTTAATTGTAAGAGTGTATGTCCGGTTCTTAAGACTTACATGTATGAAGCAACATTTATGGCATGGTTCTGTGGAAAAGGAAAGGCACTAAGACTTTTCCATAAATCCTTGGTAAGGTCCATATTTAGAGAAATGTTCCAGTCATTTGTCATTTTAATCCCCCTGATATCTGGCCCACTATTTATGAAATTTGATGATGGGGAGGCTAGTACTTGCGTAAATTACCTTTTACATAATGAATGGGGAAGGATCATTAAATTTGCTTGTTTTATCATGTCTCATGTCTGTCTTTGTCTTTATTTTCATCCAGCAAGGACGGGGGAGCTGTTAGTCGTTCTCATTTTCAAAGGGGTGAGGAGGTGGGAGGGGGGGGGAATGAGTAAAAACCAGCTAAGTTAAAGTAGATATCCCCTTTAACAGCCTACATCGCTCTGTTTACAGCATATCACCTTGCAATAAAAATATCTACATTTACCAGTCAGTCTTTGAATTAAGAAGACTATTGACTTTTCCTATCCAGCCATCCGGAATTTTCTGAAGTAAAGGATAGAAAAAATTATATTTTACCCGGGTGAGGATTGCACGTGGTGTACCCACCTAATGAAAACAAACATACCAAGAAGTATTTAAACGGAGGATTTTAAATAAAGCTGTTATTTTACTTACCTCTAAATTAAGGTGCTGTTTTGATTCTATGCATTCAAGAAAAAAGGCTGTATAACTCTCGGGTTTCGTCTCCAGAAACGAACTTGCTAAAATGGACAATTCGGCCGCCATTTTGTTTTTACTTGGGAAACAGCTGACTTGTAATAAATGCAGTCTCGTTATAAAAACCTTAATGCATTTCGGACGAAGTGCCAACATGGCGGCTCAAGCTCAAGCTGGGTATTCGTCGTATTCCAATGAGATAAAGGAGAAGCTAAGTCTGTGGGATGTGAAGGATTCTCCTCTCGCACCATTGTCAGAAAAGCAAAGAAATAGTGTACTTGAACTTACTACAGTAGCAGGAAATCGTCCTCTTTTAGACGAGGTGAGCTCAAAAATGGTACATTTGGATCAGCTGTTTTGAACCAAAACAGTTAGATTAATCAGCTGAGGACATAAATTCTGATAGAATGTAAGAGGCAGACAATGAGTGCTGCGTACCTGATGAAATGCATATTTCTTAATTATTTCACAGAAATATTTCCTCACGTTACTTCCTCGTTTTGCTTAGTTTTTGTAATATGGTTTTGCATACCCAATTGTTTATCTACTTAAATGAATTTGATTGCTAAACAGAATGCTTGTGATGTGAGATCATGGAACAGGAGATCAATGCATTTTTCTTCATCTTAATGACAGGGCACATAGTCTCACTCACTTTAAAGTAAAGCATATTTCTTTATTATTCTCTGCTAATCAATCAAAGTTACCTGATGACGACTGCACTAGTTTACCTGCAAAGAGGACCTTGAGTGAAACCAGTAAAGAAGCTGCTGTGGACATGGCAACAGTTGATTTGGGATCAGAAAAAATAGAAAATGCTCAGCAGGTTGGCTTTTTCATCTCTGTTGTTTACCTTTAAGCTTAAACTCCCATGAGTGACTGAGACAGAATTTCTCCCAACAATATTAATAGAATATCAAACAGATAAATGATGAGAATAAGAAAAGATATCAATTTGGGGATTAGAGAAATCCAACCCAGTCCCTGCAAATCAGGTAGGAAAATTCATGACATTAACATCACAAACAAACAGAACAGAAGGACCTAACTTTACCAATGGATTAAAACTGACCAATCATGGCTGACTTATTCCACTTGAGTCTTACAGCTAATAACATCTTGGTTAAACTGACAAATCAGTTTACACAAACCAGAATTTGTACATTAGACTGACAACAACTATTCACTTGACTCTGATGATGACCTCTGTCCAGGTTGCTGAAACCCTGGTCACTACTGCCAACAACAGTCCTTCTCAGGACTACACTCACCCAAACAATCAGACTACACTAAGTTGCTCTAAAAATCTGGGTAGGTCCACTGTAGTTTGTGAGATTTCAATCATTCTAATTAATTTCTAACAAGTTTGAATGTTGCTCAGGATATAAAGATGACCATCAGAATCAAGTCTCTCTTTTGAATTATCTTAAAAGTAGTGTTGATTTCTGTTCCCTTCACAAAGCCTACAGTAGTTGTGCCATGATGTTGTTAGGTAAGTTTTAAACTAAATTTTTTTTGTGAACAGTTTTTTGCTTGGTTTGCAAATGTTGAAGCACAGATGGAAGAGGAGCAAGAATCATCTTACAGGTAAGAGAAAAGTAAAAAAATTGTTTTGAATATAGAAAGGATAGGTGAACATGGGTTTTTATTCCCAAACATAACAAATATTTTTATTATAATGACTGTTATTTGTAACTTTTTATTCTATTAGTTATATAGATGTTTTTATTTATAACATATTTCTGATATTTTTTATGTAATAGAATAGTTTATAAGTACAGTTTGTGTTATTGTAAGATTTTATATAACAGGGCTTACTAAAAGATTTACCCTGCTTAAAAATAAATAAAGGCTAACTGTTACTACTACTATTAGTAATTTTGCTTCACATCGTCAGTTTCATGTGAAATATACAAGTGATTAGAACTAGACAATACTATATGACTTAACACCAAATCCTCCAAACTGACTTTTAAAGAAATGTATGGCAGACAGTCATGATAATTAATTTCTAAATCTTGGAAGTATAAGATCTTATTAACATTTGCTGTATGGATAATTTATTCCTCAGATCCTATGCAGCACAGTTGCGTTCTTATCGTGATCATTGTGACAGTATTCTGAGTGAAGTGGAGTCAGCTTTGAATCATCTGCAGGATCTACAGCAGAAGCACTTATTGGTATCCACAAAAACTGGGGCTCTTCATGAAGCTTGTGAACAGCTTCTTCAGGATCAGGTCAGAGAGAAAGATATAAACATTTGAGTTGCATTTAAACTCTCTTCATTGGAGACCTTACCTTCCTTTAACCCTTTAACTCCCAGATCAAATTTGTAATTCTCCTTACTGTCAACCATACAATTATTATAATTGTTTGTTCAGAGAATTTAGTATTGAATCAACTTATTATCTCCAAATTGATATTTTTCTTTGTTCTCATCACTTATCTGGTTGATATTGTATTAATACTGTAAGGAGAATTTCTGTCTTGGTCACTTATGGGAGTTAAAGGGTTAAACATTAGCTAAGGGAGTGATTTCAAAATAATGCAGAAATTAGTGGTGTTGAGGTAACAAATGTAGCAGAACCAAAACAATGGGACTGCAGTTGGGCGTTGAAAATTTGTTCCTTGTAGCAGTTGATCAAGGTCAACAAGGTTACAAGATAACAAAATGATTGAACCATGGGAATGTTTTAATGGTCGCTTACATCTACTAAATTATCTGCAGCAGCTTTGAAGTTTCAAATGTTAACCCTGTAACTCCCATAAGTGACTAATATACAGGGAAGTGAGTCACAGCTAGAAGGGGAGAATTAACAATCAGATCTTGGTGGTGAAGGGGTTAAGAACCTTTTTTTCCACATTAATAGTTCATCTATTTATTTTCACATGGCAACCTTTCAGACAAAGTTGATGAACATGGCTGAAAGCATCAGCAACAAGTTGTCTTACTTCAATGCTTTAGATCATCTTAGACACGTGAGTAACCAGACCATTGTTATGCTAGAAAAAATTTTTGTTAGAGCCTTCGCTGATAAGTTGTACATTTGTCATTTTGGTGTACAATCAAACCAGTGTTATGTGGCACCATATGAAGCAGTCACCCCATGTTTGGCAGTCAGATGTCATTGAAGTCCCAAATTTGTGTTCCCTTCATCACTGTAATTTGTCTCCTCCAAGGCCACCCTTTTGTAAGTCCCAATAGCCAGTTTTCATTGCCCTCCAAATGTATCAATCAGTTTCTGAAAGCAGGACCACTTAAATAAAACTATTAAGAATAATCATTTAAGGAATTTTTTTATTCCAAGTTTCTCTCTCAAAACCAAATTATGTAGTATTATTGAGCAAGGTTCTGTGCACTGAGTTGTTAATTATGGCATAAAGTAGTATTGTTTATTACTTTTTTATAATACCCCTAATCTGTGGAACCTATATTTAGTGATAGACCTGCCATTCCCTGTGGGTGATCGCTTAATAAAGGATTGACTGTACTTTAATATAGAATCATTACCTACTAGGATTTGGTTTGTTTTCAGAAACTCAACTCATCCACACTGTCAGTGACAAGCGAGTCCTTTGTTCCAATGCTGGCAAGACTTGATGAGTGTATTTCATTTATATCAAGCAATGTAAGTTTTCTGTCCTTAACCCTTTAAATCCTACAAGTGACCGAGACAGAATTTCTCCTTACAATATCAACACTGTTGGAAAAGTGATGAGAATAAAGAACAATATCAAAAAGATAATTTTTAATTGATCTTCTAGCAGTTCTCTTAACTAACATTATAAGAATTGGATGGCAGAAACTAAGGAGAAGTACCAATGAGATCTTTGGAGTGGAAGGTTTAAATCTTTTGTTTATAAATTCATTTTAAAAACTTAAGTTATTTTTAATGATCTTCAAACTTGGCTGAGCAAGGTTGCAGTTGGGGAGGGAATACTAGGGTGTTTGTTCCTCCTTTTTTTCAATAAATATAATCATTATGAGAAAGCTTGGTATGCTGCTGAATGCCAGTAGCTGAAGGATATAAGTTCAGATCCATCCCCACCCCCCATAACTGCATACTGCAAAGCTTGAGGCTCCACCAAGTGTATAAAGTCCACATTTCATAGGGTATTGGACAAAGAATACATGTATATCCGAGGTCCTGGAGGAACACCTGTCAAATACTCTGCAAATGAGTGTCAGAGGTCTCATGGGGCTATATACCAGCCACGTTCTTATGCAGCATGCCTCTTGCACGCTGCTGAATTCAGTTTCAGTGCAGTAGCTGCAAAACTAGTGAATTACATATGATTATATTTTTTTGTCCTTGTAGCCTCAGTTCAAAGAATCCCAAGTGTATCTTGTCAGATTCAAACAGTGCTTGAACCAGGCCCTCAATCAAGTGAAAATGCATGTTGTGAATTTGCTGAAAAATGCCACAGCACAGGTGTTGGCAAATAAGGTAGGTTGATGGAAAATGGTTAAAAAAAGTGTCCTATTTTAGACAAAAGTGTCCAATTTTGGATACTTATGTGCGATTTTGGACACGAGTTTCCATTTCAAAAACAACTGGTAGTGTTCTATTTCAGATGCTAGTGTCTAATTTTAGACACTGGTGTCTGATTTTGGACACCAGTGCCCAATTTTAGATTATAGTGTCTGATTTTAGACACTGGTGTCTGATTTTAGAGACAAAAGTCTCCTTTTGGAAAGAATGTTAGACACATCCAATTTTAGACAGTATCATTTTATTTAAGGAAGTAGTATCAGTTTTAGATAGAAATGTGCCATTTTGGACACTAGTGTTCAAAGACCATTATGGTAACAAATTTCATTTTTGTTCTTAATTATGCTTATCTATCAAGTTGATTATTCATTGTAGTTAATGTTGGTTGAAAATATGTCAGGTCAAAAGGAAGATTTGGTTTGACACATGTCCTGTTTAGGAAGAAAACTTATTTCCAGTGCTGCAGTTGAATATTTTTGAGGGTATGATGATTTTGAAAGGAAACTTGTTTTCTTGTTTTTTCATTGGCTATTTCAGGAAGGTGGAAATTCTTCTGAAAGTTCCTTTGCTTTATTTTATGGGAAATTCAGGACTTGTGCTCCAAGAGTGAAGGTCAGTCACTGTATTTAACTTTATTTTTATTGTTGGAAGGGAGATACAGTTAACCTTTTCATTCCCAATATCTCCTTGGTAATTCTTCTTACTGTCTGCCTAAATTGATTATAATTTTGGTTCTGAGAATTTGGTATTGGATCAAATGATAATCGCCTAATTGATATTTTTCTCAATTTTCATTATTAGTCTGCTTGACATTGTATTGATACTGCAAAACAAAAGTATGTCTTGGTCTCTGCTGGGAGTGATTTTTTTGTTGTTGTTGTTTGAAAGGGTTAACTGCCTGTCAATGAAGGCCAGTTAATTTTTGATTCACTCCATTTACTAATAATTCATTTTATTCTTTTCTTTAACAGAGTTTAATGGAACAGATTGAACAGAGGAGTCACTTAAGTTCTGAGTAAGTATTACTTACCGACAATTACTGTAGTAACAGTGAAAAGCAGTTTTTTAAGGCTTTTTTTATATGTGAGAGGTACCATTTTTTGTTTCTTGATGTTTCAGGTACAGTTCACTTTTAAGTGACTGCCAGCAGTGTTATCTCTCTCAGCGTTCTCAACTCCTGACCCCATGTGTTAGTGATGCTATTGATAAACTGGCCAAGCAGTATGAAAGAAATCCTTGTTCTCTGGTAAGTTTATGCACAGAAATGCAAAATGAGGTTTCTAAACTGCTTTGTGGTGCTGATTGTGTCATTTGACATGAAAGTACAGCTGGAAAAGTTTTCATCTGAATGGTTGAAACAGAGGAATTTTACCCACTTAAAAGTGAGAAACACCCTGTAACAGTACTACACCCTAGCATCAGTATGCAAGTTCTCCTTACTCTTCTTATATTAACTGTGGTACATACAGGGAGAATTTGTCTAACAATCAAGAGCTTCTAGAGGTTGTGATCAGTTTCTTTATTCTCATGACCATAATGTTTATTCAGGAATGATAATGTTAGGAGAAATTAGATGCAAGTCACTGTTAGAGATCAAATGTTTCATCCTTTAACTCCCAAAAGTGATCAACATGAAAATTCTCTCCATTATATCCTTATATCACTCGGCAAACAGGTAATGAGAATATTCAAACTTATCATTTAGAACTTGTTATCTTGATCTCATGCCAAATTCTCATGACTAAATTACAAGGAAATGTTCAGCAGGTAGAGGGGAGAATTAACAATCAGATCCTGGGAGTTAAAGAGTTAAGTCAGGCCAATTATAACCAACCTTAGAATCACATTTGTTTAACCTTGGCATAGTAGAATTTTTAGGGAAATAAAAAAAAGTTAAACATAAATCTCTTTCTGTAGGTTCGCGCTGGTTGTTCAGTGTTGATTCGCGTCTGTCAGGATGAATACCAGTTATACTATCACTTCTTCTCTAGGCCAAGTTCAGGTCTTGAGTAAGTGAAATATTTTATCACTTGTAATCTTTTTACCTTTGTGAAAGTTTGTTTACTCTGGCTTGTGAGAATGTGGCCTTTTGTACAAGTCAAGTTGTGAGAGTCAAGATTTTGATGAAAGAAATGTATACAATGGAGAATGAAGTTAAAAAATACTAGCTGCAATCACAGAGGGCTTGCAAAGCTGACAGAATAGATTTAGACAGAATGATTCTGATTGGTTTCTTGTTAATGTTTCAAAATGAAATTTCTCTTTGCTCTGTAGCTCCTTGTTAGAAATTTTGTGCAGTACCTTATATGATTCGCTGAGACCTGTAATAATCCACATGAATCACATGGAGACACTCACTGAACTCTGCACAATATTAAAGGTAAATTTATTTTGTCATAATTATGATCACTGTTATCATTATTGTAGATTGTATGTGGACTTAGTAAATTAATTAAAAGCTTTCTACCCATTTCCAAGCAGTGCTCTCCTTTTAAGCAGTAGCTGGTAAAATTTGCCATTTGTCTTATATCTTAAAATTGCTTGGAATTCTAGAAAAATCAATAGTTTCAAGGATTGCTCTATTGGTTTAAAAATTTCATATACCTCTTGTGTGTAAGATAAGGGAGAACACTGTCGAGTGATAGAAAATGACTTATATTGGAAGTGGGTAAGGCCACCAAATTTTATTAATTTCTGTACCTAAAATATTATATGGAAAAATGTGATCCTAAAGATTGCACCTTATGCTCCGATAAGTATAGGTATTAATATGATTTCGAGTGCAATTTGGTGTCAATAAGCACAAGTAAATTTTTTTGAAGACAATATAATTGCACGAGCCCATAGGGCAAATACCATTTATAGTCTTTGGAAAATTTACAAATGCTTATTATGGCAAATTGCATTCATGTTATTACTTGTTAATAATGTACATGAAAAAACATCACAGAGTCAGGACAGACAAAATTTTGAAAGCGTCTGCGCGCTATTTGTAATTTGCACTCGTGTTACAACTTTGCACTCTTGTTACATGAGAATGCACTAATTTTCAGCCAATCAGAAGTGCATAACTTTGCCATGTACATTATTAGGGGTATTATAATAATTGTTCTTTTTTGGTTCTCTTTAGGTGGAAATGATTGAGGATCATGTGCAGCAAAAAGGTATAATTGTTAAATTTTACTAGTTAGCAAAACATTTTGAATTTGTTATTTTAATGTATAGATGACACAGAGCCAAGAATTTTTTCCTTCCTTTTATGTCAAACAATTTGAGAGAATGCAGGGGTTGGTTGAAATCTAAAATTACTCTTCTTTTTCAGGTGAAGAACTAGCCGCTTTTGAAGTTGTTGTTCTACAGATGTTAGAGGATGTACAAGAACGGCTGGTTTACCGGGCACAGGTAACAACTACTGATACGAACAACTAATTTGGATATCACTGGAGCTTATCTTAGGAAGACGAGTGTCATTTCACTATGTGACAAACATTTTCCTATTTGACACCAATTTTCTCTTTTTTGGCAGGCGTACATTGAGAGTGACATCCAGAAATATTCCCCAGCACCTGGTGATCTAGCTTATCCAGAAAAACTTATTATTGGGGTTGGTAAACACTACTGTACGATTGAAACTGTAGGGTACTTAACCTTTTGACTCCTACATATGCACAAGACAGAATTTTGCCTTTTAATATCAATAAAATATCAAGCAGACAATTGGGGAATTACTAGTTGATCCAATACTAAATTCCTTGAGCTAACATCATAAGAATTGTTTGGCTGACAGTAAGGAGAATTAATAATGAGATCTTGGGAGTGAAAGGGATGAAAAACTATCAGAGACACCTAATGAACTTGTGAGAGGTTTACCAAGGTAGACTGGCTTTCCATATAACAGGAGTTAAACTTCTTGCAGCTAACTTAGTCTTATCTGAAGACTTTCATTCTACATTCAACTTTCAGGCAGGGGATAATGACAAAGAGGAAAAACAATCTGGAGAAGAAGAGAAGAAGTCTGTTGGTTAGTTATGATCAAAAGCATTGCCATATTCAAATGCATCTGTCTGACATTTCTTCACCTGTTTTGTATCTTTTTTGTTTGTAGAGTTACCAGGAGCGTTAGCGGACCTTCAGGGTATGTGGTACCCAACAGTCAGACGCACACTGGTGTGTCTCTCAAAACTCTATCGGTGCATCTCGGTGAGGATTATTACCTTCTTTGGGTTGTATTTGATTTTCTGTCCTCTGATTTCATCTAGTTCATATCTTATTGATTTGAAGGTTTATGTTTGATTTCACCTTTTACATTTTAGAAAGAAACATTTGAAGGCCTTTCTCAGGAGGCTTTGTCCCTCTGCATCCAGTCCCTTAAAACAGCAAGCTCTCTTATTGCTCAGAGAAAGGTACAGATACAAATTGACAGATTTAGATGACTGCCAAGTGTTGACTTAGTTAAGATCCCTTTGGAGACTGAAGGAGAAGTAGATGCTGCTTCAAAAATCATGTAGCTCTTTCTTCCATGCATCCTTTCAATTTTCTGCCCTCCCTGTCTTTGATGCCTAACCATTTTCTCCCAGTGAGTGATAAGCATCTAAATTCTCCCAAAAGTATCACCCTTAAATCAAACATTAAGGTCATGAGAATGAAGGGAATGATTGCGACCTCAATAAGCTCTTGATTGTTAGACAAATTCTCCTTGCAAGTTCCATCATTAGGAAATGTCTAGAAAACAGTATGAGAACTTGTATACTGATGTAAGGTTGTAAAGGGCTAATATTTAGCATTTGGTTTGTATGCTCTACATTTATATAAGTCTGGCATTTTTTCCAGGATTCTATAAACGGTCATCTGTTCCTCATAAAACATCTGCTGATCCTCAGAGAGCAGATTGCCCCTTTTGATGTTGATTTTGCTGTCAAGGAAATGTCGCTGGACTTCAGTAAAATGCGGACTGCAGCATATGGTTTGTGGAGTCACAGCAACAGGCTGTTTGCTCTTAGTGGCAACAATGCATTGCTGGAATTTTTGTTAGATGTAAGTTTGGTAGATATTAAGGAGAGAGATGCACTCATTTCTAGACAGTATGCCCTTGTCCTCATGTGTTTTGGTAGGAATCTTAAAAAAGTAGTGCTGAACACTAGCTATACTTTACTGGTAATTCTGTTTCAGGGAGCGCCTCAGTTAACAGAAAACTATCTGGATTCAAAGAAGGTAAGGAAAGCTAAATATTTGGACAAACTTAGCTTTGATCTAAATCTAAATTGTCCATATGTACAGAGTCACCCTAGAGAGCTTTTGAGTTCTCTTTGCTTTTTTTACTACTTTTCTCTTACTCAATCTTAAAGCAACACACATCAAAAATTGCTGATACAAGTATTTTGCAGGATGTGTGATATGGTCTATTATGACCTGGCGTACAAATGAGTTCTTTACAGCTCAGCTGGTTGGGAATCTGAACATTAAATTGAAACTAGGTGCAGTTCAATTCCTTGTAGGAAATTAATTACATTTTTTGCCCCACTAACACAACAAGTGTAGAGGATCTCTCTTTATAGAGTTGTGATAATATTACACTCTAGCTTTGTGGCTATTTCCATTTCATAACTCAGCACTTTTGTTTTGTTATCAACTGAAGGATGTTGATGTTGAACTCAGGATTGTGTGTGAGCAGTTTATTCAAAATGTATCAGAGTCTCTCATCTCTCCTCTGTCAGCGTTCTTGACCAAGGTAAGTTGAATCTTGATGCCAATTAATTTTTTGATGGATTGAGTGATCTGTCTGCCTTAGTTTTTGGTTGTGGATGGTTTGCTACTTAAACTAAACAGGTGGCAAATAACTTCATTATTAACCCTGTCACTCCAATGAGTGACCAAGACAGAATTTCTCCTTATGATACCAATATAATATCAAACAAACCAGTGATGAGAATAAAGAAAAATATCAACTAGGGGATTATTAGTTGATCAGATACCAAATTCTCTAAGATAACATCATGAGAATTGTATGACAAACAGTAGGGGGAATTACTAAATAAAAGAGGTCTTGGGGGTGAAAAGGGTTAAAAAAAATAGTTTTTTTGTGTAACTAGTACACTCTTAGTTACTCAAAGATGTCAAGCGCACATGAGAAAAACAAAGGAATATGGATTTTCTGAAATTTTTCTTGCAGGTAACAGTGATTAAGAATCTTGCCCAAGAGGAAGGAAAAGATACTAAAGCATTCCTCAAGCAACAACCTTTTGCAAAACCAGGTGATAAAAAATATTTCTTACTTTAATAGTTTGGGTAGTTACATGAAAAGCTTTATAACCTCTAGCACTTTTTTAAGTCATGAATAGAGTTATGCGTTGTACTTTAAATTTTCTTAATTTTGTTTTTCAGAGAATGTTCGCAAAGTTGTTAGTGAGACTTACATGTTACTGAAGTCCAAGCTCACAAGCACTCTACAAAGCATGGCTTTGTTTTTGGCAAACAAAGACACAGAGTACATTCTCTTTAAACCTGTCAAGGTAATGATCAACAGTAATTTCTTTTCCTGATATAAATACAAAACCTAACATTCCAATGGCAAAAACACGTGTATAGCAAATCATTACCGAGGGTATCCATTTATAACAAGGACCTGGGACCAAACTGTGGCATAAAAGATGGAACTTTTGCTTTTAATGCTGAGTATTAAAAGACCACTTAGGGCAGTGTCACAGTTTAAATATCACTAACTTTGGGATGTTATATTTTCATGAGTTTGCTCTTGGAATTGTAAATATAGTTCTAACTAAAACATGCTCTTCAAAAATGAAAAAAAACTGTTGATATTGCAGTACTTGGTAAGAGCCTGCCACTGAAAGTAACAAGGCTGGATTTACAAAAAAGAATTCACTCTTTCTTTTACATTGAGATTAGAATACTCAATGGAATTCTATAACATTACAGGCTAAGGTTCAAGAATATTACAAACAAATGAATGACTTGGTGATGGAAACCTACTCTGAAGAAGATCAACAGATCATTGGATGTCCATCAATTCAGCAGGTTTGTTAAGTTTACATGCACAGTAACAATAATGGCATTGTTGACCAAGGTGCATTTGCTGTTGCTCTGGAAGGTAATGGGTGATAGTGCTTGTGATTTTTTTTATTAAAAGTTGTAATCTGTTTGTGTCACAAGCGTGGGACAAAGGAAAAATCTGAGTCACCCATTTGTTATAGTTTGTTTTCTGTTGTGAAAATGTCAGGGCTAACTTCTGGATACAGTCAAAACTGTCACCAATGGCAACTTCCTCACAACAGCCACTTTTTCCTTCTTGGGAGAGTCATTCAGTCTTTTTATTTAATCTATCTACAACAACAACCTCTTCACAAGGATCATGGCCAACAGACTATTCCCATCTTTGAACCTGAGACGTGACAGGTCTCATATAACACTTCCACATTTCCCTGTTGGTCACTTCTTTTTGACCACTGTGGTGAGGTTGGACTTCACTTATTGTTATTCAGTGGTAAAATGGGATGAGGGTTCTGGTGTTAGTAAAAACTTTGTTCTTACTTCTCAGGTTTCTCTTCTACTAGCAGTATCATGAAAAATGCTGAGTGGATAAAGCACCCACAGATCAAAATAACTGTTTGAAAACTCCAGCTGGTTCATTAAATATGAAAATTTGATGAGGAATACTGCCTCAGCAAGTTGTTAAACCAGATTGAAAAATTAGATATTTATTTATTTATTACCAAGATTTCCTATGCAAGGGCAAACTCTATTGCAAAGATGGTGGTATTTGTTTGTTGTGTTTTTTTTCTATATAGTTACTTGCCTTTGAGCTTTCCACATATCAGATAAAGATAGATAAAGCAATGACAGAGAGAGGCAAGGGAAGTTACTTATTAGGTAATACTGTGAGACCCTTTCCTAAGATCAACAAATTCATTTTCTGTACTGTCTACATTTCTTTTAACTTCAGCTGCAAGAATTTGGTGTTGAATTTGGTGCTTACTCAATAAGGGCACAAATTAACAATTAATTTGAGGGGGGGCACTTATCAGAGGGAGGGCAGTTATTGGAACGAGGGTGCTTAATAAAATCATCACAGTATATGTAAATATCTATTATAACAGCTAGTAAATTTGTCTAATCAAATTCAATTGCGTCAACATGCTTCATATTCCTATTGTACACACTCATGACGTCAGCAAACAAATCCCTTGATAAAAAAAAATTTTCCATTGGGTTGAAAATGTTATAAAACAATTGGTTCATGCGTCAGCTGTGTGTTCGTTGAGATATGAAGCACTAGGGAAGTTTGAGTAGCACTCAAGAAGCTAGAGTTGCTCTCAGCTAAGCCTCGAGCAACTCTTACACATCTTTGGTACTCTCCAAACTTCCCAAGTGCTTCATATCTTGATGAACGCATGCTGACGTATGAACCAATTGTTAAGTGTTGAACTTCTCACAATGTATTCTGCATCAACATTTTATTTCTCTACCTTTTGTTAAAATTTATTTACAATCCCATTTACAATTATACCACAATTAAGTTAGCATTATATCGTAAGCTGAATCATACATGCATCTTGACTGGTTCTTCTTTGTAGATTAGTGGATAGATGCATAGGTGACAGCACTATAAACAATATTTTGCCTTTTAATCATATAAAACAAGTAAATTCTGTGTTACCTCCTTGTTTCTATGGTTGTGTACAGAACTTGATCACTAGAAGTTGTCAAATGTGGTAAGACCATTAATGACATACTCAGCTCTACCTTGTCTGCCACATATTTGTTCTAACACATTTTGACATCTGTGATTTATTACTAAAAGGATGTGGAATCTCTTCGGGAAGTTAAAACTCCATACTAATGGACCCTTGGAAAAGGAATACCACTTAATCATCCTTTGGGTCTTTTTCAATGAAAGATGATTAATAATTATATTCAATGACCACTCTTTTTAAAATTCAGGCTTGCCCCATTTCAATCAGTCAAATTAAATAGCCTATCCTTCCAGTACACACTGTAAAATGTTCTATAATTCCATCAACAAAAATAATTGTTTTGAAAAAAGTAGAAAACAAGAGGATATTTCAGTATAAAAAGAAAAGTGTGTTATTATAAACAGAAACCAGCTTTACTTAATTGTTCTGTAACAACAAACAATTATTTTAAACCTACAATTCAGTTTATGGAAAAAAAAGCCAAACAAAAGGAAGTAATTCTAACCCATGGAAACAATATTCAACCATTTCACTGCAGCTCCTCAATTTTCATTCTCTTTTAAACCTGTAAGTATTTCATTGAACCCTATTAGTTCCCTTGGGAGGTTATTAAGGGTGGCAGAAAATAACAACTTATGCCCACTTCTCAAAGGTATCTAATATTAGTAGATATGATATGTGATTGGATCAATACCAGGAGCCCAAACATTATCAGTATCACAGTAGCAGAGACATAAGAGCCATGAATTGGCATCAACATCAGTTTGGCCTAGTGAAGGAAACAATGATATATGATTAAAGATTTTAAAAAACCTGGATTCTCTTGAACAATCTTTATAAAGTTGCTACTATCTGATGTTTCCTTGTGAGTTGATAAATCACTAAACGCAAACTGCGGTTTTACAATCAGTGGGCCTCAGGCTTTCTTCATAAGAGGGTTGATTTAATTAAATAGATGTCCTGCCACTGTTAGCTTTTGGCCCCCTTGACACTGTTCAAAAAAATGAATAGGCATGGCTAGATTGATGGAGGATTGTTTTGGAGGCGGTTTTGTTGAAAAATGACTAAACTTTGTTTAAATGATCAGACCAAAAAAACCTAACCCTGGAAATAAATTCCAGAAAGTGCTATGTGGAAAATTTGATTAATACCTGCATGACATAAAGGGCCATAAGAAATTTTCAACATGGGGACATTGAAACCTATCAGATAACCATAAACTGTTCCGCCCTAGTCTAGTCAAAAAGTTTTTGTTCACATCTGGAACTCCATCACTTTATGAGTGTATATAAGTATGTTCAGCTTGTCATATATTGGGCAAAGGGGAGGATTGCTGAAAAAATACAAAGATTAACAATCTGATGCAGAAATCCCTCTCTTAGTTGGATAGTATTTGTACACATTTTTAAAATTTGCTAAGCTGCTTAATTTTTTATAAAAATCTACCATCCATGCGATTTTTAAGGCTGAATTCACTAATTTACAAACCACAAACCTATCAACTCCTGCTAGTGATCCACCCTCCCCCTCCCCCTTCCCCCAAGAAACAAATTTTTTGTAGGACCAAACTAACCTTCATTTCTACACCTTGGGTAAACAAAATGAAAGAGTCCTGGTCCAGCTGTGTGGCTGAAGGATATCCAAACACTCTGACATTCAGGCTTTGCTGTTTAAACTTCTGTGCCACTGCACTAAAGCGAGCAGCCTGCAAATAAAGAAGTTATAAAAAAATCAAAACCAACTCACACTCTTCATGGGCCCCAAGTGAAGAATTTTATATCAGCTATATAAAAAAAAGAAAAAAAAAAGTTGTGAGAGATGTGATGGTCTGATGGTTAAGGTATTTGACTCCTTATTGAGAGGTCTGGGTTGGAGTCTTGCCTGGGTCAATGTGTTGTGTTCTTGGGCAAAACATTTCCTCTGACAGTGCTTCTCTACTTCCAGGAGTATGAGTGGTGACTGGCAATTTGTAAAGGAAGCCTGATGAAATTCTGGGGTTGGGGGGGGGGGAACCTTGCAATGGACTAACATCCCATCCAGGGGGGAGTAGTGATACTCTTAGCTACTTTATGCTAAGGAAAGCAGGATAAGCCCTAGCTGGTTGAGCCACTTGGTTCGAGTACAGACTTCACCCTTTTTTTTCATATAAAAAGAAGATGCCCAATGTATTTTACAATGTTTTTCTTTCTTCTCTTTTTTCCCCATAATGGTGTCACCAGGCTTGTTTTTTGACCAAGTGATGATATATCTCACAAGATATCTTCAGCCTCAATATAAGACCATATTTTTGAAATGTGCAGTTGGAAGTGTGATGTATTTCTAGGGATTGATTAATGATTAGTTCACTTGTCAGCATGGGTTCAACAGTCAGCTGAGACAGGATGAAATGAATCTTTGTTTACATACCAAATGCTTTAAAAGTACTCACCACTATAAAGGGAATCATTATAAAAGAGAAGGACAAGAGTGGAGCTAACAATCTGTAAAGCAACGTAATGGCACTGAGTGTGTCATTCTTAATGTACGTCATCATGTTGATCACCTCTGCAAGAGTAAAATAGCACAGAAATTTGTTAGAGCAATCATGTTAATGTTGGTGATATAATATGTGTTATTTGATTGGAATATCTCTTTACACATTTTATTTAGTACCCTGTTAGTGCATCAGCAAACAAAGCCTTTGTGGAACAACTTATATTTAATTTGAACTTAATCACACACCAGGCAAGGATTTGTGCTTCATATTTGAGCATTAGTTTGATACAGAGATCATTTTACCCTTTTACTCCCAAGATCTGATTGTTAATTCTCCCCTCTAGCTGCTGCACATTTCCTTGTAAATAATTGATTACAAGAATTTGGTGCTAGATCAAGATAACAACATCTACCTAGAAAGTTTGAGTTTTCTCATAACCTGTTTGCTGAATAATGTATGGATATTGAAGGGAGAAGTTACATCTTAATCATTTCTGGATGTTAAAGGGTTAGAGCTGTGATAGTACAGGTCATATTGCTAACAGTATATATCTTTACACATGAAAATCTGAGACTATGCCACTTGGAAATTTCATCTTCTTTGGCAGCGCCTCTATCGGTTCCCCTAAGTTTGCCTTGCCCTATTGCAAATAGCTTCAACAATTCCTTCCTCCTCCACAGGTAGCCCAGGCTTACAAAATGAGGTTCCATAAATATGCAAATATGTTTATGCTATGCAATGGACAAGACATGAGGATTTGTTAGGGAGTATGTTTATGGCAACTGTTTAAGCCCAGGCAAATCCTTCCATTTTGCCCATTGTGCAATATATTTGCATATTTACAGAGGCTCATTTGGAAGCTTGGGCATCCTGTTCTTCCTCTAGAATGCCTTCACACAAGAACCTTATTATTGAATTCAAAGCTTGAATCAAACTTCATAATGATAAGCAGAAATAAACACCCTACAATTATCAATGATTACCTGCCACAGTAATTTTAAGGTAGCAGAGCACAATTAGACTTGCAATTATGGATATTTTTCCATTCATATTGTTGAGGTTTTTCTTTACATCCATTACGTCCTAAAACAAAAACATGCAAGCTGAGGATGTTATAATGCTCAATTGAATTTGAGATATTTTTTACATTTTCTTTCAAGGAAAACAAGAGGAATAGATCTGTAATAAAATTAAGGAAAATTAAGGGTAGGGATATGATTGCAAGCCATACTCTATTCGTCCCTGACTGCTTCATAATTCTGAGTGATTTGATTAAAAAGAAGGGCCTTCAAGGTTTTGCAAGTACAGATGATTTTTACGTATGCATGTAACCAAGCTGTCAATAACTGGTGTTAAAGATTCTTTCCAAAGACATAAGTAAATATATATGTCCTGGAAAATGCACATTGGTGTCTGATTAAGGGAAGGAAGGCAGTTTTTTTTCAGAGTTTTCACAGGTTAAGAGAAACCATGGGTTTTGCAACAAAAGGATATGAGTAAGTCCACTGATTTAAGCCATTAACTAAAATTCTGATTCCACTTCTGTTCACATGTTCAAAAAATTACCATTTAAAACTTTAATTGAGAAGTAGGTTCATGTCTATTTAATTGCAACCTTCATTTTCAATTTAACCCTTTTACTACCATGAGTGATCAAGACAAAATTTCTCCTTGCAATATCATTACAATATCAAGCAATCAAGTGATGAGGATAAAGAAAAATATAAATTAGGGGATTATCAGTTGATCCAATACCAAATTTTCCAAACTAACAAACTAAGAATTGTATGGCAGACAGTAAGGAGAATTACTAAATTATGAATGAGATAATTGGGAGTGAAAGGGTTAACTCAAAATTGACAGGGGTTGGTGGGAGAGGTGGGGTGATTTCAGAGGCTGAAATAAAACTTTGAAAAAGTATTGAAGCCTAATCTCATTATAATTTTTTTGGGGTGGGATTCATTGTTTAAAAAGTCATGTCTCAAGAATATTCCACAAAGCTGTGATTACTTTCATTAAAGCAGAGAGATCTTTGGTTTTTTCCTCCATTCTCTGACAAATCTCGTGGAGATAAAAGGTCAACAATTCACACTGAGCACAGTAACTCATGAGTGTCACTATGGAAACAAAGGCCTCCACAAAAAAGCCAAGTACAATGAATGAAACTGCTATCCGCTGGCCACTATCAGGAAAAAAATAAAGACATCTTTCATCGCTTATTACCATACTAACAAAATTTCAACTAAGAATACTTAGTGCTTGCTAATTTTGGCCTGTATTGCAGTAAAATCGATCTCTTTATTTCTTCCATTTTTTTTTTTTTGCGTTTAAATTCTTATTTAATAAGTCAAAACTTATGGTAAAGCCTGAGGCAGGAGTTGGACATTTTTCACTGTTTTGGTCAGCTCAATGTGGACTTAAACAAGTCTTTTACTATTGTGATTAATTACCACTGAGTTTGACTATTGCAAACCACTGATACTCTTTGATACCCTTACGTCTAAAAGTGATGTAATGAGCAATTTCCCATTTTTTTTTTAAGGGGGCAAATCACTTAGCCAGGAGGCCACATGACTTGGGGTGACATGACAAAGGGGCATATTTACCTAAGATTACAAGTTTCCCTTTTAAAGTGGCATGCAGCATCAAGTGAATATTGTGCAAGTAAATTGCCATAAATTACAGTTATTTAATTTTAAGCCAGACTAACCTTGAATTGAGACTGAATCCTGTCACTGAGGTTTTCTTAAAGACATGAAGAAACAACATTTCAACGGCACTATCAGCAATTGCCAACATCACCAAGCTCAAGAAAAAAATTCTGCAAAAATGAAATAAAAGTCTTAATTTACTCATAATTTTTCAAATAAAAAATATAACATCATGCATTTGCAAAATCTATTGCACAAATTACCTTAACCTTGAAACAATCTTCCTAGGAATGGAACTAAGCAAAAAAACCTTGGGAAAGGAAACAAAATAATTAATAAAAACATCCTTAACAATACTTCTAAGGTTATTTGTTAGACTACTGGGGGCCGGGGCCTGATGTGTTTATCACAAGACTCACTCTTGCAGTTCCTTCTGCATAGAGCCTGCAGTTCATCAAGAAGGGAGGTTCTGCTTCGTAGCTGGAAAATTCATAAATCTCTGATCCATAATGAACATCCTAAATTAAACTTTTCCCTCCCAGTATAGAGACAAATGAGTAATTTCTACAAATCAAAGTTCAGAAGGGGGGGGAGGGGGAAGGGGAAGGGGGAGGGGGAAGGGGAAGGGGAAGGGGGAATAGGGGAAGGGGAAAGGGGGAAGGGGGATACTTGAGCCAATTTATTGTCTATTCTTTGGCCAACTATAGACCACATTTTAGTCATATTTGGTAATACAGTAGCAACTTTTACCAGGAAATCTTCCCATTTTCAAATCCCTTTATACCAGAATTTTCTTATCCCAAAATCCCAAAAATGTGCCACCCCATTCTAGTAACTATATAAATGCAACCCCATCATAGTCAATCCAGTTGTGAAAATATGACCCCATCCATGCAGTGGCACATCTACATTAGCCCATTACTAAGTATTCCCTCTCCCCCTCCCCCAACTGGAGCCCTGCTCCCCCTGCTCCATCACATTCCTCACTTTTGCCTGAATTGTGGACCTGTTTAAGTTGAGCCTATAAAATGTTGGGAATGTTAAATATTTTTATGCTACCTTATACCTTTTCTACCAAAGCACTGAGATCCTCGTTGTCTTGAATTCTAAACAAGTAAAACCCAGTCAAAACTGCCATGAAGTGGAGGAGATGTGGCATCACATACTCTGTTAGTAAATGTTTACATTTTTTGAAAGCAGCTGGTTTCCAATCACCTGACTTTGAAGTTGCCTGAATAAAAACATTGGTAACTGAAGGAAAAACTGAAGAGCTAATGTTCTTCCCCATAGTTTGGGAAGTAACACCACTTTGAACCATAAGATTCTTATTTATTCTGTTTAGGTCCAGAGAGAAAGTGTGCGTTGCTTTTGTTCCACCAAAGGAATTTCCGTCAGGTTTTATCAAGCTTCTCTGGTCATGCTGTGATTGCTTGGTGCCTTGAGATGTTTCTGGAACCTTGGAGGTCTACATTACACACATTGAGAAAAGACAAAAAAATCTTATCCAACATATTGATGACTTTAGTTTGGTGACATGTGCAAGCTTGTCATATTTTGTTTGATCTTATCATGCATTAGACTTACTATGAAAACTCTGATTGGTCAAGAGCATACAGTCAATATACAATAGCATGTGAAGTTGATATGATAACCCAATATCTGTTGCAGATATTGGGTTATCATGTTGAGTTGAAAGTCTGCCTAGTTTTCAAGCCCCTTGTCTGTGTAGTGCTCTTCAACTTTTGCAAACTCAGAGGAAAGTGTCTTCTTTTGCAGATTGTTTAAAAATGTATAACAAAACAATTATTGATTTTTGGTTTTCACATGATATCATGAATAGTCCATTTTACAGTTGTGTGCTTGGTTGCCAAGCCTTTGAACAGGAATGAGGCTAAAGGTGACCTTGTCATGATACAAACCTTGCTGCTTTTCAAATGCAAATTACTTTGTTATCATGCTAACAAGATACTGGTCTCTATCACAACAAGGTCACCTTCAGCCTCATAAATCAAAGGCTGAATTATCAAATCTTGTGTCTGTGTTATTTGCCTCAGCCTAATCAGATATTACTCAGACCTCAGCATTGATAATTCATGATATTATGCTCAACCTCATCCAGTAATTGCATAATATCAAGGTCCTTTAATGCCCACAAAGGAAACTCATGGGTCCATTCTTGATTGACAGATAGCTTTGGTATTTGCACCAAAGGGAAAGCACAGAACATACTTCTTTGGTTGAAAACTAACAATATTCACAATTATGGTATTTTAAAAAGCTTCATAAACATTAGCTAGTATCTTGTAAACTCTAACCCAACAATACTATGGATATAATTTTTCTTTGAAGGAGGGAGATTTTTAGAGAGTTAAAGCTATAGACAGAGTGCATATTACAGAGAGAGAGAGGGGGGGGGACTGACAGAGCATGTAAGGTAAACATTTTTTTTACTTCAAATACACAGAATTAATGTACCTTATTGCTACTGACATCTAGCCCAAGGTTGCAGGATATAAGATGTGAGGCATAGGTAAAGATGATCAAGCAAAAAAACAAAAATGTGTAGAAAATGTTAACCACTTTCCAGAATGAACATCTTTGACGATAAGCCATTGAGCGAGAGCCAAATGGTCGCCAAGCAACCTGAGAAATATAATTGATTCGTTTTTTAGAAATCAAAGTAAATTTTCAATTATTAACTTACATGTAGAACATGTTGGATAATTTGCATTGTATGCTGGAAGCAATGCAATATTACAATCATAACAAAAAATGTTGCAGTACAATACAGAAAGGTTTTTTAATAACTGTCAAAAATATACTGTTAACCCTTTAACTCCCATGAGTGACCAAAACAGAGTTTCTCCTTACAATACCAATAAAATATCAACCAAATAAGTGATGAGAATAAAGAAAAATATCAGTTTGGGGATAATTAGTTGATCCAATACTAAATTCTCTGAATTAACATTATAAGAATTGTATGGTTGACAGTAAGGAGAATAAAAAAATTGATCTGGGAGTTAAAGGGTTAAAATATGTTTACTGTGTTATGACCAACCATAAGGGAGATCTGGATGTCTGTAAGAAAACCAGATACTGATTAACAATATGTTTATTATGAAAATTTCTCAAGCATGGTTTTATTTTCCCCTAGTAAATCACATCTCAAGGGCCTTTGCAGTGTCCATGGTTTTCTGAGTTCCGCAAGAAATGCTGACAATATTTTGTACAACTGTTTTCCAAACTTACCAAGCATAGAATATAGAGATAAGGGTAGATAACCTGACGTTTACATTTAAGCAAAAGGCTGGCTGTTGAGCTGCTGTTGTCTTCTTGAAGAGCACTTTGGTCCCTGATCTGCAGTAAAGACATTTTATAAACATCACAAACAAGGAAAACCTGAGCACTTTTTTACATTTGGTACTAACATTACTTCTTCAATGCATCACATTAAATCAAGTCAATTTTAGTTACCCACAAGCTAATGACCAAGCTTGCTCTTCAAGTTCTCAGAAATTATTGTGGTAGGAGAAGAATACCAGTACTCTGGTTGGAGTCACATGACAACACCTAAGTGGCAACCCAACTCACTCAGGAGGCAATAATTGAATTGGGGTGACTGTGCATTAGGATAATGTGACCTGTATTCATAGCATTAGTCTAATTTTCTATTGCACCAAGGGGATATGATGGGGTAACCTGATGAAAATTCCTTAGATTCAAAGCATGAATCAGGGTTGGTTACCCAGGGACTGGATGAAGGAATAGGGTGTGGTCAGTAGCTTAGGGCTGCACTCGCCCCATAAGAACTTGAACCTCATCTTATGAGACAAGCCTCAAAAAGTTCAATTTCTTTTACTTAATAGAATCTCTGATGAAGGCCTAGTGTTAGTTTCTTCAGGATTTTTTAACTTTTTTATTTCATCTCATCAAGGACAACTGAACAGGAGAATCACTGTTTATATTATAATAATATTTTCACCCTTTAACTCCCAGAAGTGATAAACACGTAACTTCTCCCTAAATTATCCATACATTATCCAGCAAACAGGTGATGAGAAGATTCAAACTTATCGGGTAGAGTTTGTTATCTCGATCTGATTTGTAAGGAAATGTGTAGCAGCTAGAGGGGAGAATTAGCAATCAGATCTTGGGAGTTAAACGGTTAACAGAAAATTCCGTTTTTTCCCCCGAAATATACAGCGTCTTACTGACTAAACTGATTTTAATACTCTTCTAAAATTTTAATAAAAGAGAGCGAACTTCCTTTTCGACATTTCCACGAAACTACGAAACAAAGTGACGTCAGTTTACAGATTTATCACAAAAATCTCATTCAAAAACATGACGTTACGATATTGTTCTTCCTTTTTTGACGTGCATAGCTGCACAAGCCCTCTAAACTCAGTTCTATTAAACAAAAGAACTTCCTTAAAAGCCATGGGGTCACAATCAAACCGCTATTCTCACCTCAATGTTTGTACTGTCCCAGATGTCTGTGAATGATGATCCACCATAGCGGCTAGAAACAGTAACCGTACCAGCATCTTCCAGCTCGTTTAATCTGTCGTCGCGATTTCTGTGCATTGTTTGTCGTAAAAAAAAAAAAAAAGCAATGAAGAAAACGAATCAAACCAGAGCAATTCTTTGCTCTGCAGCGACTAGGTAAACGTCAATTGAAAACACTTTTCACTAGCCCATTACATTACATCATCTGGATGTGGACAAACTGTTGACTTACTGACCTGTTTCCAGTTCACATGACACCTGATGAGAGAGTCATGTGAGTGACGATGCTGTCTTAGAAAAGTAACACTCGTTTCTCGGAAAAAAGATGGCGCACACCAATTCCTACAGTATAGACATAGTTTGAAGCTACACTGGTTTGCAGATTTAATGAATGTAACCGAAGAAGTTACAATTCATAGACCCAACGTTTCGACACTCCTGTCTAGTGCCTTCATCAGGGGTGATCTAAACGCTGCAACAAGAGGTCCTTTTATATGATCACTAATTAGCGGCCTTTTTTCTGACGAGGTGTAAATAGGCGTCAAGAAGCAGACCGCCATCGTCACGATTTAAAGGAGCGTGGGCGGAGTTAATGTGCCAAGCCTCCAAACAAAGGCGCTGGTGGTAACGCCGATTAGTAGTGATAATTTTAGAATTATCCCACCCAATTGTATGGTTGGTTAGGCAAGTATGCTCCGATAAAGCTGAATTTTCCTTTTTGCAAAGAAAAACCGCTTTTTGGTGCTCTTGTACCAAACTGGCGTTTGGTCTGTCCGATGTATTCGTTATCACAGTCATTGCAAGGAATAGAATAAATGGCGTCGGTTCGTTGTTCTTTCGTGACAGGATCCTTAGGTTTGGCGAAAATATGCCCCAAAGTCTGAAAAGGTTTTTGAGCAACTTTAACGTTGTGGCTATTCAAAATTCTCTTAATGCAACTGATGGGTTCAGTAACACCCTGTATGTAAGGAATAACAGCAAAACCAGTCGCTGGTTCCCTTTCATCAAGAGCGTTACTATTTGTAACTGGTTTTTGGCAGTTACGAAGAAAAGTTTTTGTATAGCCATTTGCCTTTAGGACATTGGAAACATATTTCCTCTCCTCAGCCTTCGAATCGAGTGATGATGGTAGACAATCAGCCCTCCTAAGTAAAGTTTTGGCTACAGACTTTTTATGGCAAATAGGATGGTGAGAATCGAAAGCGAGGTATTTGTCGGTGTGGGTGGGTTTACGATAGACACTTGTCTCTAAATTACCCTGAACCCCTCTAGACACATTTAAATCAAGAAAGGGCAAATGTCTATCCTTTTCTATTCCTTGCAATGACTGTGATAACGAATACATCGGACAGACCAAACGCCAGTTTGGTACACGGTTAAAAGAGCACCAAAAAGCGGTTTTTCTTTGCAAAAAGGAAAATTCAGCTTTATCGGAGCATACTTGCCTAACCAACCATACAATTGGGTGGGATAATTCTAAAATTATCACTACTAATCGGCGTTACCACCAGCGCCTTTGTTTGGAGGCTTGGCACATTAACTCCGCCCACGCTCCTTTAAATCGTGACGATGGCGGTCTGCTTCCTGACGCCTATTTACACCTCGTCAGAAAAAAGGCCGCTAATTAGTGATCATATAAAAGGACCTCTTGTTGCAGCGTTTAGATCACCCCTGATGAAGGCACTAGACAGGAGTGTCGAAACGTTGGGTCTATGAATTGTAACTTCTTCGGTTACATTCATTAAATCTGCAAACCAGTGTAGCTTCAAACTATGTCTGATTGTCCACCTGGTTGCCGTGTGAACTTTAATATATCCTACAGTATAGTTTTTTCAATTCTTTACATAAATGTATCATGAGTTCAATCCTCAGCCCATAAATATAGCCCATAAAGGAAAGATATAACGCCATATATGCAATAAGTCTTCAATTCTTATTTCAAGATGCACAATCAAGACAAAATAGAAAAAGAAAACGTAACTCTTGGGACTGTTTTCCTCATTGTCAACCTATTACAACTGGAAGTGGTTGCGCACGATTGCGTGACATCAAGCAACACCCGGAAATCAACATTTCTTTCTCACTCGGAGGCAAATATGAGGAGAAAAAGCCGCCTGTAACAGAGTTCTTTTCAACGTTTGACATGGTATAGTTCGCATTGTTGGAGAGAGTTATGTAAAATTAGATAAATTTCCTAGTCTAAGGGCAATTTGTTAAAAACTAACGAAGATACGACTCGGCGAACGACTCAACTGAGTCAGTACTTCCGAAATCGGACGAAACTGTCTGGAATAGGACGAAGGCGTCCGAAACAAAACGGCAGCGGACGGGGAATGGAGGGGTGGACGTAAGACTATGTTAATTTCACATGAAAAGGTCAGCTTTGGAGCGACAAGACCCATCCTGTCGTGGTTCATTCTGACGTAACATGATACAAACTTGTCTCGGCCAAGAACACAACAAAAAGGAGCAGAGACGTTTTGGAAAAGCGCACGGCAATCGAAACAGGAATGGAACTAATTTTAGCGCGCTCTGATGTCCATGGAAGGTCCTTGTTTTAGCACACCGACAAGATGGACATCTGTGGCCCTATAATGTGTAGTTGCTCCGCATTTCAAATCAGACTTTACATAAAACATTTCAACACCTATCGAGTACATTGTCATCTAGAAATATTCTTATATTTCACATTGCTTTACGAGTTCGGAAAATTTGTTAATTATTACAATGGTAGTAATTATAACAATCTTCAAATTTTGTACAGTTTAGAATAATTATTACAGATATTACAATTATTACAGTTTCAATAATTATTACATATTACAGATACCGGTAATCTTTGTAAACAATATTTAAAGAGAATTTCTTTGTGAACGATAAATCTTACATCACTAGTAAGCACGTCTTGTTCACAATGGATTCTTCTTCACAAATAGATAATCAAGTTATCATACTTTGTTCAATATACTACTGTCAAAGTAATCTTCATGAGAAAGAGGGACACTTATAATGCAGATATATAAAAACATATCTGCAACATTTGTCATTGACAATATTCAAATTATATGCTGAAGACTAGCAAATGGATTTTTACATCAGTCATTTCTTCAATTGCTCTTATTATTCATTATATGATAAGCTAAAATATTCACTCATTTTTTGATCGGTTCTTACTCATGATCTGTTGAAGAGGACAAAAGCATCAGTGACACACTCGGCTGTGCCTCATGTGCTACTTTGTTGTTTTAACTACATTTTGATGTTATCTGTGATCTATTCCTGAAAAGACCTGCAGCAACATGGAGTACATTTGCTAATAACTTGCTGGATACCAAATGCAACAAATGAAACTTTTTTTTTCCAAAAAATTGTTACTTGCATATCTACTTCAATATTTGACATTGGTCTATGCAGTAATTTATCAGAAAACCTGTTTTTTTTCTTTTTTCATTGAGAAAAAATTCAAAGGAAATTTTCATGCAAAAAGAAAAATTAAAGTGAACCAGGAACACAGCTCTTTTAACGTAAAAAAAGTTTCTCTCACAAGAGAATGCTCAACAAAAGGTAGATATGGTAGAAATTTGAATACTTCATTCAAAGATATTATTTTTCAGATATCTTACTCTTACAGGTTTTTGCTTGAAAATCAATTAATATAATTGATAAATTAATTAAGACAGAAAAGATGAATGAAGCACAAAGGATGTCATAAATGCTGATCACCCACTGTTATCCAAGCCATTTGCTTAGGTTTACTTCTTTAGATAAACTGTAGGTAGTCTTTTTGATCCTCTCTGCTAGGGGCACAAATAAGTGTCACATCAAGGTCCTGCTCACATCAAGGTCCTGTTCACATCAGGGTCTTGTTCATATCAGGGTCCTCTTCACATAAGGGTCCTCTTCACAATGGGGTCCTCCTCTCAAAGGTATTTATTCTTGCCAGCAATAATGCCCAACTGTAACATGAGTAGGAGTACAAACACCACTACTGCCACAACACCAGACAGAAAAGAGAATTGAACTGGCATAAACAGCAGCTTGGCCTGGGAGATGAAGAGACAATTATCCTTTGCCAATACCTTGAATGCGGTTATTAAGTTAACTAAAGTTGAAATCTTCCCTCCTGTTAAAACAGTTTGTAGTGCAAACACGTCACAACATGCTTTATGGATGTATGATCCATAAGTATGGCAATGGACCCATGGGCCAAAGAAACTTTCAATGAAATGTGGGGGGGGGGGGGGGGGAAGGGAAAGGGAGCTGAACCCTATCTTCCCCAAGAGTTCCCCCCCCCCCTACTCCACCATCCTTGTGAAACAAGCTGTCCTTAATCAAGATACTTAAGTTACCTTCATTTCAGCACTGTGTGTAAACAATACAAATGAATCCAAATCCAGTTGAGAAGCAGAAGGATATCCAAACACTCTGATTTGCAAACTATTCTGTTTAAGTTTGCGAGCAGCTGAAGTCAAACGAGCAGCCTTGAAAGACAAAGAATAACCAGTAAATAACATAATCATATACACTTTGAGAATATGGAACATTTAGTGTGAAGGCAGATTTTAAAGTTAGCTTAGCAAGGACAGCAACAACAACAACAATGACATTTCTACTTGTGTAAAACGTTCTTTATATCAACCCTTTACACCCCAACATCAATATGCATATTCTCCAAATCTGTACGTCTTCTAAGGCGTTGAAGGGACAGTTTGTTCAACAAACAAGAGCTTCTTTAGCTGGTGATCATTTCCTTTATACATGTGGCCTAAATGTGTAATTCAGGGATGATATTGTAAGGAGAAATTGGAAGCTACTTATGCATAGGGGTCAAAGAGATTATCAGAAAAATGAAAAAAAAAATAGAAAGGTGAAAAAAACAAGGAAAGAAGAGAGACCACATCCATATAGAAACAGTGAATGTACATCAAACTAAGAAATAAAAATGGTTTAAGCTACTTACGATAGTTATAGGGCAAATGATGATGACAAAACTTATCAGCGGTTTAAAGATTCTGTACATCAGTTTGCTCTTTTCTACTTTTAATTTTTTAATCTGAAGTGATAAGTTACAAAACCCTGAAAAGAAATCCAAATTACCAAGATTTAGTTTTAATATTTACAGCAAGTCCTAAGGCTTTGAGACAACCTTACAGACAAGAATAAAAATTATGATGTACTATCATAAAATCCAAAAATTTTTCAAACTTTAAAACTTTAGGTAAAAATTTGTGTTAATCATTAATTACCTATCACAGAAAGTTCAAAGTAACTAAATATTATAAGAGTTGCAATCACTGATATAAATCCATTCACTCTGGAGAGATTTTTCTTTACTTCAAGAATGTCCTAATGCAAAAATAAAATGAAAGACAAGTACAATTGGGTTAGTGAGAGAGAGATCAGATAGATCCTGCAAATGGATGATCACCTTCCATATTTTCATTGACAATTTTGAAACTTCAACCAAATTTGGGAAAAGTTGACATAACAGACAATCATCTTATAATAATATACTCTGCTGAGACTGACACTTATACTATCAAATATATCTAGTACCCCTCCCCTGTTATAACCCTGTATCAAATTATCACCATCCCACCCCCCACCGTAAATCATGTTCTTGGTTCCAGTCTTCCTACTCTTCCATCCAAAAATAAAAGGAAAAAAGCCCTAAAGTCAATTAACCCTTTACCTTCCAGATCAAATTTGTACTTCTCCTTACTGTCCACCACACAATTTTTATAATGGGAGGGGGTAAAGGCCAGAATATTTAACTACACCATTACCTTCATTATGCTGTCAAGATCTTTGGTTTTCTCTTCCATGCGCAATGTGATTTCACGAATATAGAAAATCAACAATTCACACTGTGCACAGTAATTTACAATAGTAACAACGCTGACACATAACTCTACAAGTCTGCCCAGTCCCATTACAACTGCTGCTATCCACTGAGCTCTAAAGAGAGAAAAAATAAGCTTCAGTTACAAATTGTAACCTATGAAGGACATAAACTAGGAAAAGATTTTTCCCCAACAAGATAAAATGGGTCAAGCAAAGAGGGATGTCTGGCAAATAACTTAATTTCATGTCTAAATCCCTGAACTGCTAATTGATACAAATGAATATCAAAATCAGTAACACAATTTTTGGTATAATGGGCCTGTTTAGCATCATAGCCCTATACTATCTGAACACAAATGCTCTAATAAGACCAAATACTAATAAGACCCTCTCTCTAAGCCCCTCTCTCTAAGGAGCCCCCTCCCTAATAAGTTCTCCTCTCTAGTATGTCCCCTTTCCATCTAGTCCCCTCTCTTATGAACCCCTTTCTGTCAAGCTTCCCTCTCTAATAAGGTAATTTAAAAATCTTTTAAAATTTAATCGCAGTGTGTGACTTGGCTGCCTTACCTTAAGTTGTTTATGAATCCTGTGACTGACTCCAAATGGTAGGCAAAACAAAACAAAATAAAATTACAGATGCCCAGGAACACTATGAAAAAACCACCAAAAAGGAAAAACCTGTCAAAGGAACAAAACTGACCATTAAATGCTTTCTGCCTGAAAACTAAGCTGGGTTAGTCAGCTCTCAAAAATTTTCATAAAAGCAAAGTTATAGGTTGCCAAAAGGCAAAATTTAGTTGTCTTAGGCTTTGTGAGAAAAAAAAATATTTTAAATAAGGTCTGGGGACTTTTAATCAAGGAGAGGTAATTTGGAGTTAGAAATGACTTTGTGGAATATTTAACAATTTGTTTCAAAGCATTGTTGTGCTCTAATATTTTTCCTGATTTAAAACCCTTAAAACCAGATTTTGCTTCTCTTTGGCTATTAATCATTGAGGACTGATAAAATAAAAATCCAAATTGTTTCACAGAATTAAAGCAGGGAGAATTCTAAACACAACTGCATAATTCACTAAATATACATACACACAAATCAAAACTTATGTGTGTAGGAGAAACAGCACATACCGCAGCCTTGAGGTGATTCTTCTGGGAACTGAAGTAAGCAAAAAAACCTGAGAAAAATTAAATGATCAAGTTGAGGGGAAGGTTTCACTACAATGAAACCAGAGGGGCTAAAGATTAATAATTTTGTTGGTAAGTTGACTACTAAAATGAATCTCAAGAAAAATGCCCTCGTCATAAAACTTTGCCACTCAAGAAGGTGACCACTGATAATATAAAATCTATCATGACACTTAAAACTGTAACATTTTAAAGCATACCTTTTCTATCAGTGCATGGAGGCCCTCACTCTCTTGAATCCTAAACATGTAGAATCCGATCAAAAATGCTAGAAAGTGAAGAATATCTGGTACCACGTATGTGCTAAATATATGAGTACACTCCATGACTGCTGGGTTCCAAGTGGCTGGTGCTGCTGTGGCCAAGGTATAGAATGGTACACCTGGAGGTTTGCTTGTGTATGTTGAAGAATTAATCCCTGTCAGTGGGTTAGTGGGTGTGGTTGATGTTTTATTTGTGTGGTTTGTTGTTGGCATTGTTGGCGCTGTGCTAATGTTGCCATGGTGAGAAGTTGGTAGTTTTGTTGCTGGTGTCTGGAATGATATAAACAGAGAGAAATGTCACAATCAAATGTGATTGAGTGACCAAGACAGAATTTCTCCTTACAGTATCAATACAAATCAAGCAGATAAGTAATGAGATTAAAGAAAAACATCAGTTAGGGGAATACTAGTTGATCCAATACCATGTTCTCTACACTTAAATCATAATAATTGAATAAAAGACAGTAAGGACAATTACTAAAAGAGATCTTAGGAGTGAAACACTACACAATGAATTGTATGCATCCACTGAATCCATTTTTACTTAAGAATGCGTTCACAAAACAACAATCTGAAACTAACAAACACATGGACAATTTGAACAGATGATTTGAAGTTATTACATACTAATATATGATGACTGTGGAATCTATCAGCAAACTGCTCCTAAGGGTAATCTAACCAGCTTTACTTTTTCAATGTGTATAAACATCACAAATTAACCCCACAAGTATTAACTCTTTGACCTCTTAGAGTGACTAGCATCTAATTTCTCCTTACAATATCACCCCCAAATCAAACAGTAGGGTCACAAGTATAGAAGAAATAATCACTGACTAGAGAGGCTTTTGATTATTTACAAAATTCTCCTTGTCAGCACCAAAGGAAATTTAAAGAGAACAGTATGAAGAATATGCATACTGATGTTAACCCTTTAACTCCCATGAGTGACCAAGACAGAATTTCTCCTTACAATATCAATACAATATCATGCAGACAAGTGATGAGAATAAAGAAAAATATCAATCAGGGGATTATTGGTTGATCCAAGACCAAATTCTCCAAAGTAACATTACAAGAATTGTATGACAGACAATAAGGAGAGTTACTATTGAAACCTCGGGGGTAAATGGGGTTGATAAGAGTTAATAAGTCTACAAGCTGCATACCAAAGGTATATCCAGCCTGGCTTGACAAGCTAATATGCTTGACACATAGCTGAAGATAATCAGGACAAAAATAATCAGTGTGTATATAATGTTCAAGAATTTCCGCATTGAACATCCTTGGTAACGAAAGGATTGAATATTAAATGGTCGCCAGGCAACCTGAAAAATAAAGAAAATGACAGTCACTAGTATCAACTCTAAATCAAGGGGAAAGGAATTAACTGTTTGACCCCTAAGACTGATTAACATCTAATTTCTCCTTAAAATATCATTCCTGAATCACACATTAAGGTCAGGATACTAAAGGAAATGATCACTGACTAAAGAAGCTGTTGATTGTTTGATAAAATCTACTACACTGATGTCAAGGTGCAGTGGCTTAAACCAAAAGTTATGAACTACAAGAAACAAGTTAAAGATAGATGATTTTCATCTTTTCACAGGCGTGGGATGAAGAAAAAAATTGGAGTCCCCATGAGGAATAACCCTCAAACATTTAGCTTCTGTGCTCCCATGCTCTTCCACAGTGACCCTTAGATGAGCAAGGCCATTACAAGGTTCTTAAGTCAAAGCTGTTACCAAAATGCTTTATGCTGCCCTAGTGCAGATGATTAAATGACAAGGACTTTTGCTCTGCGTATAAGTGGGTAATTTAGTATAATCAACTGAGTTGACAACATAAATTGGCCAACATAAAGAGACTCAAAGCTGACATTTTGAGTGTTAGCCCTTTGTTAGAGCAGAACAAGAAAGGGCTAATGCTCAAAACGTCAACTTCTAAATTGTTTATGAAGGCCAATTTACAATTATTTATCACCTAAGCTCATAATACTAAATCACCTTGTTAAACTCTCCCACTGATGTAGCACAACAGTTTCTTAAGAAACTCACCCCTGTTATTCGTCTGTATATGACTAATGAGTTACTCTTGGAATCTAAACTTACCAAGGAGAGGATGTAGAAATAAGGATAAATAACCTGGCTTTTACAAGTTAGCAACAAGCTTGTTGTAGCATTGAAGTCTCCTTTGTCTTGATCTCTGATCTGTAACAAAGTCAGTTAACAAATATTACTAACAATAATATAACATTGGAGATATCACTCATAATCTTTAATTAAATACCACATTTACTCAAGTAGTATCTCTTGCCCAACTAGAATAAGGGAGACACAGGTTCAAATCTCATTGAAGCCTAAATTTGTTTCAGGCTTCTTTTCTCCAATTGCTTGAGCCTTTAACTCCCAAGATCTGGATGTTAATTCTCCCTGTAAGTTGCTTCACATTTCCTTGTAAATTGGTTATGAGAATTTGATGTTTGATTAAAAGAATAACTTCAACTTGATAAGTTTGAGTACTCTCATTACCAGTTTGCTGGATAGTGTGTGAATATTACAGGGAGAAATTACATGTTAATCACTTCTAGGAGCTAAAGGGTTAAGTTGGAACTCACCTGCAAGGATCACTGCTATACTTGGGGACATAGGTGTTGTTTTAACCCTTTAACTCCCAAGATCTCATCAGTAATTCTTCTTACTGTCTTCCATACAGTTCTTGTGATGTTAGTTTGGAGAATTTGGAATTGGATCAACTTATAATCCCCTGATTGATTTTTTTCTTTATTCTCATCGCTTTTCTACTTGATATTGTATTGATATTGTAAGGAGAAATTCTGTCTTAATCACTCATGAGAGTTCAAGGCTAACATGTATGATCCAGCTCTAGGACATGCATAATGTGGTGCTTCAACTAAGAGTACCGTGCTTTCAGGAGGTCCTGTTGAGACCTTTTCTGTGTATTTAGAAGGGGTGTCCCCCCATCAAGGACATAACAAAAGGGAGGAGGGGTTGAGGAAGTATCTGACCCCCCCCCCTCTTTCATCAACAATGAAAGTATTTGTGAGTAATAACTGTTTCCAAAATGGAGTGGATATAGACCCCTACTTTGTGTTAAGAAATTTTTGTTGGCATCATAATAACCGTTTCTCTGCTGAGACTATTTTATCCCAATAAACCCGAAAAAATAAGCCAATCGTATCGTAACCATCAAAAAACCATCATGATGATTAAAAATAACAATAATAAAGTGGTCAAATTTATGAAAGATAACATGTTATGTGGCAATTACTTGGCTGAAAATTTAAGACATTTGTGAACTGTTAACCAAGCTAGAAAAGCTTTGTTCAAACTCGTAAATAAGCAATGTTCGGATCAGGAACGCGTCACGACTTGGAAAAAATTACAAATGGGGAAGACAGAAGCACCTTTCCTCATTTGATAACATATAAAATTAAAGTTTAACTTCGCGAGAGAGATTGTGTAATATTAAACTAAAAACAACTCACGTATGTTCTCGAAAGATATAGAAAACCCTTAATTTACTTTCACTACAGAAGTTATAGGCAAATTATGTAACAATTCCGAAGTAATGCAATTTGACAGCGACGTGCACGCGATGCTCAAAACGAAACTGACCTTTCATCCGAACAAATGATCTGATTCTTTGGGCCAGAATGCGTATATTCATATAAAGTTTAATCAAAGCAATTACATTCTAACCTCGACGCTTGTGTTGTCCCAGATATCAGTAAAAGATGATCCCACAGTATCCTCCAATTCATTCAATCCTTCAAGTTTTCCTTCGGTTGAGCTATTCATGCTTCCGTTTCGCCCTGCAAGCATTGTACGGGGTAAAAGTCTTCGTAGCGCTGACCTCTGCCGCACAACAGAAAATATTATCTCATGAGCAAGAATTTTGCTGCCCTTGACAGTAATAAAAGCTCCAAATTACCAGAGTTGTGTTGCTGTAAACTGCGTCCCAACTGTCACCCTGAGCTCTCCTGTGCTCAGCTGACATCTCCTGAGACGACAAGTACACTTGTTTGTCTTGCATATTTGTTATGCTAATTAAGGGCTCGTCCCTCTCTGGGTCTCTAATTCACAGTAAAATAAGGTACCATGGGTTACCCCTACTCCCTCCACCCCTGCTCCGCGCGCTATGGGATCAAAGCTCATTGGAGAATCGTGAGGTTAAAAGTTCAGTAAACAATATTTCAACGAGCCAAAATAATTTCGAAACAAACAAAATATCCCATAGCAAGTAGACAAAGCAAAAAGAAGGACATGCTTGGGCGCAGGTCAAGTGTACGTGATCGTTAAGGGAGTGTTGTAAATTCAAGAGCGGTGCAACAAACGAGTCATACAGCCCGTAATCATATAAAACGTTCTTAATTCCCTATGTATCGCACAGATTTTGTTGGTAAAAGAAAAAAAAATGTTTATTTCGTATTGCAAGAGCATATTTCGAGTGAGAATAACATTTTACGAAAGGATTAACATTGTCACAATTCCATCATGGTGGGTCCCAGAAAGGTCCCGAAAGGAATAGAGTGGGCTACCAATTACACCGTACCCCCTCCCCCAGTCAATCAGTCTCCTGTAAAAACACGCTTGCTTCTGAAGAGGCTTATTGTGTGAATAAGAGGATTGTAGGAAAATAACAAAGAACATGAAACAGAGAACACTTGATCACACAGAGAACACACGTAGGGTATCATTCTAACGTTGTAAAGAGCTCTTACATTTTGTAATAAAGTGATAACAAGATTACTAACCATTTCGCTTTATTAAAAAACACGGTAAATCTGTATTTGCACTTTATTCTAGCTTCGACAGCAATCTCTGGAGTCTAAGAAAAATATCTAAAATAATAAAATTTAACAATTATTTTGGGCATTATTTGCTACCGTCACTCAATGTTAGTGCCTTATCATTCAGGAACCTCACAGATTTGTAGGCTACAATTTCACACATATCAGTATTGAAGTTACGAGGAAGCTTTTCATGACCTTTGGATCTTTTTTACTTTACGTTTTACAGCGTTCTTTTTAACAGATGAGCGACACGAGATATAGCTCGTTTGCATATTAGGAGCAGGACCGTTCAGTCAGTCGATAAAAACCGTATTAAGACGAGCAAAATAAATTTCGGTAGTATACTGATAAAAAAAGCTTAGTATCTAAATCAAGAAAATCACAGCGAAATGGTCGCATGTCATAGTGTAACGATTTCAGGTTTTCGTTCAACTCATGTTGCAATAATTAGGTCAAGTTAAAAGCGTTCTGTACAAAATTTTCTTTTTTCACGAACAAGGTCCCGCCTCTAAAGTTAATAAATAAATCACACTATTCGTGCTCAATGTTCGGAAACCGAAGTTTCCGAAAATCTTACGATTGTACAACTGACCGATAATAAACTAACGCAGGCTCTGTTCACTAAATAAAACGAGTTTCGTGGGTCAGAGTTCGATTGGCCCTCTAAAACTCTAAAAGACGTATTCAAAAAGATTTTTTAAAAAACCTACAACACTGTTTAAAATAAATGGCTTACTCTCAGAAAGCATGCCGTTAAGATCGAAAAATTTCTTGAATAAAGGCTGAGCGCTAAAACTCTCTTAGACTACAAACTAACTCATTAAAATTCACATTTGACAACATGATTTAAAGATACCGAATTCAATGTAAAAAGATTAACGCAATTTAATAAACGAAAACTGTATTTACATGGATAAAAAAGACTTTATACAGAGCTTCTCGAGAGAAGTTATTCTGTGCTTTCAAAGTTGCAATTATACTTTTCCACGTTAAATTTCGGTTCTGCTTTGTTTGTTTTGTTTTGGCTTTCACTTTTGTTTACAAATAATTAAATCTTACCCCTTAAAATGTGTTACTACAACGTAACCAATAAATTATACTGTTAATCTTTGCAAAAAATCGAGAGCTGAATCTTTTCACTGCTAAAGCACACTTCTCAGGTCAGTGTGATAAGGGAAAAAACTAGACGAACGTCTTCTAAGCTTTAAACCCCAAAGAAGAAAACCTATTCCGAGGAACACGTGAAATCTCTGCAGGTTCCCTCAGGTAGATTACGAACAAACGTAGCCACCACTGTAGCCCTGTGAGCTCTCTCTTTCTTGAGCCGTCATTTCATTTCCGTCCAAAAGAGCAGTTTGTGTAAATATTAGTAACCAAAGTTTTTAAATGTCTTGCTTAGCGTCATGAAGTAAATCTGGCCACTTGAACTCGACCGAGAAGCGAAGAAAACCTGCAATGAAAAATAAAAACAATGACAGCAAAGTGACAGTGATATAGCGTGACAACAAATCGTCAAACGAAAAGCGTAACCATGTTACGTGACAAGTGGCACGAAGATAATAAGAGACTGACCTTTTCGTTTCTTTCACAGAGAAATCTAAACGTCTGAGCTCTTTTGTGCATAAACACACCATCCAAAAGTCCCGTCTCCACAGATCTAACCTCGATGGCTTTTTCTCCCCATCCCATTATTTGTCCTGAGCCTATGTGAGCTGCAATAATAGTTGAAACTGAGTAAGATTTTTTCTCGTCTTTTCACGAGCGTGGAACAAAGTCCAACAAAGTCCGCGCTCCGGTGGTGTACCACTAGGCCACTGAGACTCCACGGTGAGCGAGATCTATCACGAAGTTTATATATGACACAAGTCCTACATACTGCTAGGATCAGCAAAGGAAGAAATATAGCGAGTTTTGAGCTCGGTAAAGAAATGGAGAAAGATGGTTTGTTTTTCTTTGTCCCCACTTGTGACAAGACGAAAAAAAACCGTCTTTCTTTGTTTCTTTACCGAGCTCAAAACCAACCATCTTTCTTATTCTATTTACAAAAATAGTTGAGATTGTGAGAAGTAGAGCGCTTTTCGATTGGGTGTCGTTAAACCAAAACAAAACGAATCACAACGGCCAATCAAGGAAATGGTTAAAATGACAAGAAGCCAACGGGAACTCAGAACTGTCAAAATGTCTGAAGCGCGGGAAAACGCAAGTGACCAAGTCGTGATTGGTTTTAGTGAGGAATTTGATTGGTTGAGAAAGTGGCACGTGTTTTCTGGACCAATCACAGCGCTTAGTAGACTTAAGCAGAACCAAAACAATCCCAAATCCCAAACCCTCAAATTTGACTGAGGAGTACGATATCACGCCAAGGATATTTTCAAAAGCGAAAGTGCTTCTCTCACAGAGATAACCGCCAAGTTGTGAAAAGTACTGAAAAACTAACTTAGCGTTTGGCAAAATTAACAAAAATAATCAGAGACCGAAGAAGAATAAAACCTAAGGGAATTAATATCTACAAAGGAGATAAAACTTACCGATAGCGTATGGAGTCTCGCCCCATTGTAACACGGCATGTCTCACCAGTTCTCCGTTGGTATTAACGTAAACGCCTTCATCTAGATAAGAAGTAGGAGCATAACGACTCTGTGTTAAAATAATCGTAACAATATAATTTAAACGACCAAAATATTTCTTCAAATTTGGAACGGTGTCATTTGCTTCCATCCAAGTTAGGATCCTTACGTCTCATTATAGGTGATTACGTTCGAATTGGGAAGGTTTCGCCTTTTTTTCGTTTCCGTTTAATCTCCGACGATTCGGCCTGATTTGGTCGATTTCGTATTATTTCGGAAGGTTCCTTACGACTACGGACGGTTTCGTTAAATTTCGGACAACGCCGAGGAAAGAGTCCGAAATCGACAAAACAGTCGGGAATCGGACCGACCGTCCGACTTTAGGTGGAAACTCAAAGATTCGATGGATGGTTATGGATGGCGAATTTCAAAACGGTAAAGCAGCCTGTCTAATTAAATTAGTTATGCATCCGTACTTACTGTTAAAACAGAGAAGAAGTTCCAAACCACTCGAACCTAAAACACAACGCAAACACTTAATTAAAATCAGCAAAACAATATCGAAAAAGGCTAAGACAGATTTTATTCATAAAAGCGCTCAACTCCTGGTCGACTTATAAAACGACACAGTAAATATCGAACTTGATATCATTAAAAGAAACGGCTGACAAAATCACAAATTCTCCTTAACAGTCTCCATACAGTCTGTCTCACATTAGTAAGGAGAAAATCACAATAATCCTTACTTGGTAGAGGAATAATAGCATGCGGCTGGAACTTTTCTTGAAGCTGTAAAACATAAGAAAAATTAAGAAATAAAAATGAACTTCTTTTATTTCCTTAAAAAATGTTCTTCAATTTTAACAAAAACATGAAAAAAATTTGTCGATCAAACTGACCTGAGTAGGAATAAATAAATCATTAACTGAAGCTGAGTCCAAGTCAACAGCATGAAAACCTGCGAAACAATAAACTTGATCAATAGGCAAATTCTCTCCAGTTTCCTCTCAGTATTCATATAAAAAACAAAGAAGAATATAATTGTAGAGTTTTACTCGTGATGAGCTGGTAAATGAGTTTGGCCTCATTCTGAGCCTTATAGAGTTATAGGCCATCTCCGGGTTCCAAAAGTTTTTTTATGTGCAAATGAATTGTATGCTCATGAGAATCAAATCTTTTCCATGTCACTGGTTTAACACTTACTCTCGTTATCAAACAAAGGCTTGAGGCATTTCAGAAATAGCCAACACCACCCGCTGGGCTCAGAAATTTGAGTGTCTTCTTACAAAGAAAGAATGTTTGATACAGTTTCTGATGAATACTTAGTGACGATTTTCTGTTTAACACAAGCAATGGTAACCTTGAGGGTGGAGCGGAGGTGGGGTGGGGTTCCACTGACCTACAATTTCTGATGAGCAATTGTGGATTGTCCCGTTTGCCACTAGCAGTGGTAACTTTTGGAGAGGGAGGAGGGGGTAGTGGGAAAGGTAAGGTTGCACTAACCTATTTCAGAGGAGTAACAGACTTTAAGTCTGCTGTTTTCCGCCTCTATTGATACATTCAACATCAGAGGTTTCTGGGGTAAGTACGAGAAAGACTGAAGAAAGAAAAAAAAAACACTTATTAATAATAACTAAAGGAGAGTGCTCGGAAAGTGTTTGGTGCAAGATATC